ATTGATAATACTGTTTATCTACTATAAACAGTAGATAAAATAGAAATCTTAGAGGTATTCCTGGAACTGGGGATGATCAAAAGTCAATATGGCAAATTAGCATCCAAGATGGAGTTATTTTAGCCACTATACCACATCATCTCCATAGCTTTAAAATTATGAACTCATTCAGAGAAGCTGCATATTTTCTATGAGATCACAACAGAGATATTCAGGTGTTCGTTCAAATATGTACTAAACACCTGTGTTTCAGGTACTTTGCTGGTACTGAGGAAATAACAGTGAATAGGACATGTTCTGTCTTCATGAAGCTTATAGAGGAAACATACACTAAAACAAGTAAAACAATTACTCTTATTCTTATTATTGTCATCATAGAAACAAACAAGGGACTAAGAGAACTAGAGGATATGCTTTTCAAATTATGGATTGCCAGGTAGAAATAAACTCCATTGAGTCCCAACCACAGTCTTAAAAAATATAGTATAAATAGGACAGAATACAGTATAAATAAGTATTGTATCATGAAACTTTCATCATGCATAAAGAGCGATGGTATAAAATGCATTTCTTTTAGGCCCAAGGAATAATCCATGCAATAGGAATGGAAAGACTTTGCTATGTTAGAAAAACAGAAAATAACCCTATAGCTGGGTTCCTACCAAAAGGATAGAGTGGGGCATGAATAGAAGTTGAAGAAGTTAAGGTTCTGGTAGAGGCTTGTGCAACAAAGAAAGAAAACTGATGCAATTTGATACATATTTTAGAGGTCCTTTTCTTGTTATATGGAGAATGGATTGGAGGGAGGGCAAGAATGGAAACAAACACCCCATCAGAAGGCTGTTGTAAGCAGTCAGTATAGGTGATAATGGGGGCTTGGTATGGAATAGAGAAAGGAGAGGGGAGGCAGCAGCAATGGTGTAGATGGATTCAAGATACAAAGATAAAATCAACAGGACTTGCTGAAGTAAGGCATCCAAATATTGTGATTCCATGTATACATTGTCCTTTCCAGATGTCTGTGTCTATGCACACCCTCCTCTTGCAATACCTGACCTTTCCCCAAGCTCTCACCCTATTTACTTGGCACACTCCTAGCCATACCCCTTTCAAAACTTGAGACCCAGCATCATCTTTCCACAAAACTTTCTCTGACCCTTAGAAGCTTTCTTCTCCAAGTTTCCTTAGCACTTTGCACATTCTTCTAATACACTGATTACGGGCTGCAATGCAATTACCTGTTTACATTGTTTTCCAAGCATGTCTGCAGCCATTTCAGGGCAGAAACTATTTTCTGTTCACTTTTAGCCTTGGGACTGATGACAGTGCTTAGAAAACTGTTGACTCATTAATCAAAGTTTGCTGAATGCATTTGCCATTGCCTGTTACAAATTCCTTCATTCCTAAACTATTATAGCAAAGGGATGCTCATTCACAAAGGTATTAAATACAGGCTGGGTATCCTTGGGACCAGAAGTGTTTCAACTTCTGAATTTTTTCAGATTTTGGAAAATTGGCTTTATACTTACCTGTTGAGCATCCCTAATCTGAAAATCTGTGGGGTTGTTTTTTCTTTTTTTTTTGAGACAGGGTCTTGCTTTGCAACCCAAGCTGCAGTGCAGCAGCACAATCTTGGCTAACTGCAACTTCTACCTCTCAGGTTCAAGTGACCCTCCCACCTCAGCCTCTCACATATCTGGGACTACAGGTGCGTGCTACCACACCAAACTAATTTTCTAAATTTTTGGTAGAGACGGGGTTTCACCATGTTTCCCAGGCTGGTCTTGAACTCCTGGGCTCAAGTGATCCAACTGCCTCAGTCTCCTCAAGTGGTGGAATTACAGCATAAGCCACTATACTCAGCTCCTAATTTAGAAATCTGAAATTCCCCAATGAACATTTCCTTTGAGTCTTATGTCAGCACTCAAAAAGTTTCAAATTTTGGAGCATTTCAGATTCGGGATGCTCAAACTGTACTGAACATTTTTTTCTTGCTCTTTTTTCCACATGTCCCATGTTGAAAATATTCTTATTTATCCTCAAGTTTCAGATCATTCCCCAGTGGCTCCTATTCAGAGAAATGGATATATATCTACATAATTTACACTGCTGTATAAATCCATTAGATTTTGTTCAATGATTGGACTGTGCTTCTTGCTTTCACAAACTAAACAGCATAGTATATAGGAAAGATCTAATTTTAAAGTTAGATTTCTGTTCATAAACCAGCTCTACAATTTATGGATGATGTGGCTTTGGGTAGGTTACTTAATTTCTCTGGATCTCAACTTACTCAATTATATAATAAGGTTAATACTTCTATATCATAGCGTTAGCCATGAGTTTAAATGTGAATGTGTAGTAATTAGCACAAATATACACTTAATATATTAGTTCTTGTTTCTCCAACTTGCCTTTTTTTTTTTTTTTTTTTTTTTTTGAGACAGGGTCTTACTTTGTCTTCCAGGCTGGAGTGCAGGGATGCAATCAAAGCTTGCTAGTTTCAGCCACCTGGGCCAAACGATCCTCCACCTCAGAATCCCAAATAGTTGGGACCACAGGCATGTGCCACTACACATAGCTAAGTTTTGTTTTTTATTTTTTGTAGAGATGAGGGTCTCCCCATGTTGCCCAGGCTGGTCCTGAACATCTCAGCTCAAGGGATCTCCTGCCTCGGCCTCCCAAAGTCATGGGATTACAAGCGTGAGCCACCATGCTTTGCCCAATTTACATTCTTTACCATGCTTTGCCCAATTTACATTCTTTACAAAGAACATAGCCTTTGCAAAACTAGACACAATTTGTTTCTCATCTTGGCACTATCTTGACCTAAGGGCTAAGAATGGAAACCATCTACCCTTAGACACAGCTTAGACAGTAAGGTCCAAAACTACCTGCCCTGATATGGTTTACTATCTACATTACCATGAATTTATTATTTCTTTGTCTTCATAAGTGTAATTTTACTGTTCTAGAAGACTTCTACCCAAATAACTTAATCGTTCATTATAAGAACTTCCAGAGAAATCTATTAGCTTTTCAGGTTTTTTACTTTTATTTTATGTCGAGAGGGTCTCAGCTCTGTCACCCCCGCTGGAGTGCAGTAGCATGATCATAGCTCACTGTAGCCTCAAACTCGTGGGTCCATCTAAGTGATCCTTCAGCCTCAGCCTTTCAAGTAGGTAGGACTACAGAGGTGCACCATCATGCCTGGCTACTTCTTTTTTTTTTTTTTTTGAGTCGGAGTTTTGCTCTAGTTGTCCAGTCTAGAGGACAATGGCGCCATCTTGGCTCACCACAACCTCTGCCTCCCGGGTTCAAGCAATTCTCCTGCCTCAGCCTCCTGAGTAGCTGGGATTACAAGCATGTGCCACCTCACTAAGCTAATTTTGTATTTTTAGTAGAGATGGGGTTTCTCCATGTTGATCAGGCTGGTCTTGAACTCCTGACCTCAGGTGATCTACCCACCTCCACCTCCAAGTGCTGGGATTATAGGCATGAGCCACCATGCCTGGCTTTACCTGGCTACTTAAAAAAAAAAATTGGTTGAGATGGGGTCTCCCTGAGTTGTCCAGGCTAGTCTTGAACTCCTAGACTCAAGCCATCCTCCCACCTCGGCCTCCCAAAGTGATGAGATTATAGACATGAGCCACATGCCAGGCCTGTGAGTTCTTCCAGTAGAAAACCTCAACAGTTTATGCCTTAAGGCTCCTTGCACTCTGCTTTGCTGCTTTGCTTTTCCTATCAGTCTTAAACTGCTGTATCTGATCATTGTCCAATCCTAATCAAGCCATCTTCCTCCAACCCCCTCCTACCCTCTGCCACTGAAAGACCAGCCTTAAGCCATACCCGTCAGTGAAATCTGACCTTGCTTTCCCAGTTTAATACACTACCAAAGCTCTAAGTGGTGTTCTTCCTTATCCCAGTAAGCAATAATTCAGCTGTCTTACCAAAATGCCATGTTGGTGATATTTGGGTAATTATCACTGGACAGGGCAGTACATCTATAAGCATAAAGACAAGGCAGAGGGATTTCTCCACAAATGTCTAGAAATACTGTAAAAAATGAGCAAAGCTGAATTATACATCAGGCAAATTACGTCCACTAACAAGTCCATTAATCAGAAGGAAATGAGTTAGTCAAGACCACAATAGAAAGTTTCCTTGCAAGGGTGGCCAATGAGTCTTAAAAATTCTTTTTGATGAATTCCACATTTATATTGCAATTTGCCCAGCGCGGTGGCTCACACCTGTAATCACGGCTCTTAGGGAGGCAGAGACAGAAGGACAGGTTGAGCCCAGGAGTTTGAGATCTGCCTGGGCAATATGGCAAGACCCCGTTCTCCACAAAAAGTGAAAACAAAACAAACCAAGTATATTGCAATTTTGTAAGCTCTTCCTCACTACAGAGCTAGTCAATTATGACCCTGAACCAAGAAAAACTGAGTCTCAGATATCTCATATATCTTTGGGAGTTACCAAAAATAATTCTAGGATAGGCCAAGTGACTGCAAGAAAAATAAGCAGCTTTAAAATGAGGTCCTTCTGAAGAACAATCCAGACCAACAACAGCTTCACTAAATGTAAAGAACACTAACTTCTATGGAGTCTAATGACTTTCCAGCCAGGAAAAACACACAAAGCTGTGGGATCGGAAGGAGTGAAGGAAGCACCAGGTACCGTTCAAAGTTTACTTTTCACGGAGAGAAACTGGTCCCAACCGACTCTCCAGAGGACTTCAGGAGCCCCAACAGCTCCAGAGAAGGGGGAGGAGGTGGCAGAAACTAATAGGATTCCGTGGGACCCACCCTTCAACTGACTGAGGACTGGCCCGCAGCGGTGAAAGGCCTTTGGGGTCCCTAGCTTCGCAGGGGTTCCCCTGAGGGCTAGGGGATCCATACCTGGCAAGCTATAACCCGGCGAAAGCCGCACGCCATGTCTGCTTCAAGAAAATGCGCAGTAGTCCGCCAGTCCCAGCCTCGCCCCGCCTCCTTATACGCCCCGCCTCCGCGCGCCGGAAACCCGCCTCGGAGGGTAATGCCAGCCAATCAAGAAGCCGCGTGCCTCGCCACTAACCTCTGCCCTGCAGCCGCGAGGGCGCGCGGGAAATCCCGAGTACATCTGGAATCCGCAGAGCCAGTTGAGACCATGGCCACCTCATCTGTGTCTAAGGTATGTAGTGGCCGGCGCTCACTGTGGCTCTTCCGCCGTGTCATTACCCTTTGAAAAAGGAATGAGGCGGAGGTTACTTAGGTAGGCCTACGATCCCTGGCTGGAGGGGAGGGAGGGAGCGGCGTACTGAGCTGAAGCGTCTTTGCTCCAGATCAGTTGAGGCCAACTTTGCTTGGGGAGCGAGGACGCGGATCTGCCTTGCGGTGCGGCTAGCGGGATTTTTAAGTTCTGGTTGGTGGAGGTCGAATGTCCCGATGATGCCCCAGTCTCTCTTTTTTCCCTCTCACAAATGCTGTGCGCCAAGCACTCTGTTAGGTACCGAAATGCAGTGGTAAACAAAACACTCAGTTTCTGCAGTCTAGAAAGTCAGTAAATGATAAACTGACAACCACAAATTGTGTTAGCAAGGAAAAGAGTTCTAGGCAGGCAACAGAAGAGAAGGAAGAACCTAATATAGATTGTCGGTGGTTAGCGGAGGCTTTTTGGAGAATGTGTTGCTTTGGCTGAGACCTGAAAAATGAGTAGAAGTTAGGCTAAGGATTAGGGTGAGGAGGGCAGAGCGAACATGTTCTTCCTCCCAGAAGATAGAAATAAAATGGCATATTAGAGGAATTTAAAAATCGTAATCAGAGAGTAGACGAAGAGTGGGAGCATTACGAAAAATGAGAATGAAAAAGTAATGGGGATGCGGGTGTATGTGGTGGAGGTATATTATGGAACTCCTCATCTTGGCTGCCTAGATGGCAAGAAATTGCAAGACATAGTGTGGTTGGTAAGAAGATAAGCCCTAGAGCTGTATTGTCCAGTGCGTTAGCCAGTAACCACATGTGGCTATTTAAATTTGAATTAAAGTAAGATTAAGTAAAAATTCAGTTCCTCCATTGCACTAGCCATATTTCAAGTACTCAATCACCACCTGTGGCTGTGGCTACCATATTAGATAGTGCAGATATATGACATTTCTGTCATTACAGAAAGTTCTGTTGGATGGCGCTGCTCTGGACCACAAAAAGACCTTCAATTCTAATCCGCATCCCCATTACTTTTTCATTCTCATTTTTCATAATGCTCCCATTCTTCGTCTACTCTCTGATTATGATTTTTAAATTCCTCTAATATGCCATTTTATTTCTATCTTCTGGGCAGAAGAACATGTTCGCTCTGCCCTCATCACCCTAATCCTTTGCCTAACTTCTACTCATTTTTCAGGTTTCAGCCAAAGAGTCACTTTCTCCAAAAAGCCTCTGCTAACCCCCAGCAGCGGGAAGCCCCTGAAGTTAAGCTGTCTGATAAACCTGAAAAATGCAGATGAAGAGGCTACATTCTCCCTATTTTAAAACGTTGGATTAATGAAGAAGACTATATCATGGATCTGATTTTTTATTTTGATTAAAATGGTTTATGAGAAACAGTGCTTTTCAAGACTACATGTCAGGGAGGAAGTACAAGCCCTAGGGTTTAAGATTATGCTAGTAGAGATTTAAAGGTAGTAGTATTTTTATTAGAATTGGTACTGGTTTTGTTTTGTTCTGGTTGTAATGTTCCATAGATTTTGAATGGTCTATCCCTTAATCATGTTTGTTGCATAAGCACCTCTTATTTCTATGTATCTTGAGAAAGTAAGATTTTTCAGGAAAGCATTTTTGGTATTATAACAGAAATATCTGTATTGGGGTGAGACCTTACATGAATAAGAAGCTTTAAGAACTATTTCATGAATTTATGGAACTGCAAGCTTTATTTCTTTTTTTTTAATTTTTAATTTTTTGAGACAGAGTCTTGCTCTGGTACCAGGCTGGAGTGCAGTAGCGCAATCTCGGCTTACTGCAACCTCCACCTCCCAGGTTCAAGCAATTCTCTAGCCTCAGCCTCCTGAATAGCTGGGACTACAGGCATGCATGCCCAGCTAATTTTTGTATTTTTTTTTTAAGCAGAGACAGGGTTTCATTATGTTGGCCAGGATAGTCTCTATCTCTTGACCTTGTGATCTGCCCACCTCAGCCTCCCAAAGTGCTGGGATTACAGGCCTAAGCCACCATGCCCAGACTTTTTTTTTTTTTTAAACCTATCTAAACTTTTTTTTTTTTTTTTTTTGAGAGGGACTCTCACTCTGTCACCCAGACTGGAGTGCAGTGGCACAATCTCAGCTTACTGCAACCTCCGCCTCCCGGGTTCAAGTGATTCTCCTGCCTCAGCCTCCTGAGTAGCTGGGATTACAGCCATGTGCCACCACGCCTGGATAATTTTTGGACTTTAGTAGAGATGGGGTTTCACCATGTTGGCCAGGTGGGTCTTGAACTCCTGACCTCAAGTGATCCCCCTCTCTCAGCCTCCCGAAGTGCTGGGATTACAGGCGTGAGCCACCATGGCTGGCCCTTAAACCTGTTAAACATTTTAATGTCTCTTTCCTCATGAGATTTTCTGACTGTTGGCCTTCCTCTATCTCAAACACCATCACTTGACCTGCAGTTCCAAATTGTTAACCATGTTACTACCACTGCTCTATATTAAGATCCTTTCTGGTCACTCCTCATTCTTTGCTCCTTTGAAGCTCCTTTTTCCTTTAATGAATTGCAGGTGGATTCCAAAAGGAGGCAATGACAGGTTTGTCATGGTTCCACATGATTTCTCTAAATATGTATGTGATTTCACACACTTTTGCTGGCTGCAGATATAAGAATATAAAGCACAGGGCTAGACTCAGTGGCTCACATCTGTAATCCCAACACTTTGGAAGGCTGAGGTGGGTGGATCATCTGAGGTCAGGAGGTCGAGACTAGCCTGGCCAACATGGTGAAACCCCATCTCTAGTAAAATGCAAAATTAGCTGAGCATGTTGGTGGGTGCCTGTAATCCCACATACTCGGAAGGCTGAGGCAGGAGAATCATCTGAACCTGGGAGACGGAGGTTGCAATGAGCCGAGATTACACCATTGCGCTCCAGCCTGGGCAACAGAGCGAGACTCTGTCTCAAAAAAAAAGAAAAAAAAAAAAGGAATATAAGGCATAGTTCTTAATTTGGAACATATAATCCAAATGACCACTTTATATTTGCACAGCTGTCTTTAACACTATCCTTTGACAACTTTTCCTAGGTATGGTTCTTTCATTCTGTCTTATATTTTCCGTAGCAATAGAAATCTTTAAGAAGCTATCCATCATGTATGACTTTAGGATTGGTAGAATAGAGTAGGACCAGTAACTTGCAGGCTATCTACCGCTAGTCAAATAATAGGAAACTAAACATAGCTGGGAAATTACCAGGACAATTGCTTGGCAAGCATTTATTCATTTCATATACTGATTGCCTAATATATATGTTAGCACTATTCCAAACATTGGGGAAACCTTTATAAATAAAATACATTTTGTCCCTTAAGGTACTCACAATCTTCTCAGAGAGACAGATCCATAAACTACTATGATATGCAATGAAAGTGACTTAAAACAGTGCAAAATAAAGATGTTCAAGTATGGTGAGATCTCAGGGAAAGGAGCATTTCTGGTTAGAGAATTGGGGAAGGTTTCCCAAAGGAGATGAGTGTTGAGGCAAGCTTTAATGGATAAACGAATAGGCATTTATCAGATGAAGAAAAGTATGTAGAGTGAAGCAACTGCAATTATCTATTTCCTACTAAGGTTATAGATACGTCAAGTTTAAATAATTTTGGGGTTGAGAGAGCATCACTATTTTCAACCTTCTTGATCTTCATTTTTTAATGTGTAGTATTAATTCCTTTAAGTTTATAAAAACAGAACCTTTCTGGACTTAAATTTAATCAGCTTTTATTTTCTTTGTCTGCTTTTTAAATCAGGTGCCAAAGAGCAGAATCAAAGATGGGTCTCTCATGGGAAGGAGGGGAGAGAATATAGTCTCCCTTGTTGTTTTAGAATTACCCTTCTACGGGTCAGAGAGAAGTGATGTGATATTTTAGAACCTGAAAGAAATGTGTTCTCTCCCCTACCATCTTTTTTAAAAGAAGTGTTTGCCTATAAAATATTTGCTTAATCAGATTTATCTGTTCCTTGGCTACTTTGACTTTATGCTTTTTGTCTTTTATTTTAAAGGGCTGCTTTGTTTTTAAGCCAAACTCCAAAAGGAGAAAGATCTCTGTGCCAATAGGTAAGATGTCCAAATATTAAATTTTTTATTCCCTACCTTCTTAAACTGTTAAGAACTAACCCTAATTGAATTTAGTAATTCTCTTGTCTGAGCTTGGCTTACTTGCCACGTTGGTGTGGCACTTATTTTCCAAGGCATTGGTCAAAAATATAAGAGGACACCCCACGGCTCTAATTGAAAAGGGAATCTAAATACAACCTCCAAAGGTAAGCTGGAAAGTAAATTTCCTTTAAAGGATATGCTGCCATTCTTTAAAAGAGATTGTCTTTTTGATTACTTCTCTGCCATTTTATTTTATTTCCAACTTTAGAAATGAAAGTGATTTTCTACTAGAGAAGCATTTGGACCCTTCATTAAGTAATCAAAACAATAAATACTGACTGGCAACCCAGATGCCTAACGATTGGGAAAATGTTATATAGAAAACAAAATGATAGGCCAGGTGTGGTGGCTCACACCTGTAATACCAGCACTTTGGGACGTCAAGGTGGGCAGATCACCGGAGGTTAGGAGTTCAAAACCAGACTGGCCAACATGACAAAACCCTGTCTCTACTAAAAATAGAAAAATTAGCCAGGCGTGGTGGTGGGTGCCTGTAATCCCAGCTACTCAGGAGGCTGAGTTAGGGGAATTACTTGAACCCAGGAGGTAGAGGTTGCAGCAGTGAGCCGAGGTTGCGCCACTGCACTCCAGCCTGGGCAAAAGAGGGAAACTCCATCTCGAAAAAAAGAAAAAGAAAAGAAAATGATAATTGGTAGCATAGGAAAACCTAAGAAAGGAAATGATTATAAATTTGTATATATTTTCTAATGAAAATTGTATAAACATTATTTTTGTGATAACATGGTATTTATGGGGAGACTTGAATATGCTTAAAAATTTTGATGTGATATTCCATTTTATGAATGAATTTGGGAAAGAAAATTAAAGCAATCATCTGTATGGAACATATAGGAACTTAGGGCTTAGTGACTACATGTGTGTTAAGTAGAATATGACCTGTTCTAATTTAGGGATAAATGCTGTGCATATCAATACATGTTGAGAAAAAAACCCAAGGTCTTGGATCTCTTACAGTAATTCTACCTGCTAGAGCACAGGGTTATCGAATCACCTGGACTACAAGTAAAGGAATTTGGAGTGTGATCCTAAGCCTGACTAGCTCTATGGCTTTGGCCCTGTTGTTTAACCTTTCCCTAGGTCTCTTCATCTGTAAAATGAGAAACTATACTGGCTTATCACTAAGATTTCTCCCTATTCTCATTTCATGTCTCTAAAAGCTAACATGTAGAGCTTTCTAAGACTGTACATAAATACCATGTGAAGAAACTGTGTTATTGTGGATTGTTACCACCTTGGGCTTGTAGTTTGTGTTCCAGAACTCCTATCTCTTGCTAGCCTGAGGGAAGGGAAAGGCTGAGAATGAGTAGCAGAAGACTCTACTCTCACAACGGCTGCATATTTTCAAGTGGCCCAAATTTGCTCTCTGTTAATCTTCACTTCCTTTCCACCAGTTTGCACCCTCTATCCTCTCTCGTAAGCCCAGGGGTCCCACACAGTTCTCAATCGTTCTTTATTACAACTAAAACAGATTTGTTAAATTATTGGATTTTAATCACTCATAGACACATATGATATTAAGGAAGTGGATTTTTATCACTCAGACACATACACCCTCACACACTCACATACCCATGCGAGTAAGAGAGGAAAGACATTTCTTTGGTTTTGTTTATTTGTTTATTTTAGAGACAGGGTCTCAGTCTTATTACCCACACTTCAGTTCAGTGGCACAATCATAGTTCCTGCAGCCTTCAAAACCCCTGGGCTTAAATGCTTCTCCCACCTCAACCTACCAAGTACCTGGGACTGCAGGCATACACCATCATGCCTGGCTAATTATTTTTTAAAATTTTTGTAAAGACGGGGGCCTCACTTTGTTGCCCAGGTTGGTCTTGAACTCCTGGACTCAAGTGATCCTCCTGCTTCAGCCCTCAAAGTGCTGGGATTACAGGTGTGAGCCATCGTGCCCAGCCTAATTTGTTTGGTTGGTTTTTGGTTTTGGGGTTTTTTTTGAGGCAGAGTTTAGCTCTCTGATCTTGGTGTGATCTCAGCTCACTGTAACCCTGTCTCCCAGGTTCAAGTGATTCTTCTGCCTCAGTCTCCCGAGTAGCTGGGACTACAGGCATGCGCCACCACGCCTGGCTAATTTTTGTATTTTTTATAGAGAAGGGGTTTCACTATGTTGGCCAGGCTGGTCTCAAACTCCTGCCCTCATGATTTACCCATACCTCGGCCTCCCAAAGTGCTGGGATTACAGGTGTGAGCCACCGTGCCCTGCTGTTTTTCTTTTTCTTTTTAAGGCAAAAACAACACAGGTTGTCTTAAAGTCCCAGTGGTTTCTTGGGATGAAGTAGGGGGAATTGACTGCAAAAAGGCAAGAGGGAACTTTCTGGAGTGATGGAAACTTTCTCTGTTGAGAGAGTGGTTATGTAAGTATATACTTGGGTCAAACTGTTAAAATGGTTGTGTTGAATTATTTGTAAATTATACCTCAATAAAATTAATAAAGATACTGTCTTCCCTTTTTTCATGTATATCCTGATATTTGTTTAGTGATCAAATTAAGAAGACTTGACTTCTTCAATCAAATCCAGTATTACTGTCAGAAAGTACTTATTCCACTGGTTCTCAATCATAGCTGCACATTAGAATCATTTGGGGAACTTTGAAAAAGTCTTAATATTTATAGAATTGTAGATGCATATATAGTTACATGGAATACTCTTTAACCGGCTAAGTACCCTTCCACCAGTTATCCCAGTGGTAGTATCTTACATAACTATAATACAGTGTTACAACTAAGAAACTGATATTAATGCAATCTATTGACCTTATTAAATTCCAACTTGTGGATCTTTTAAAAAATACAGGTTGAAAGTTTCTTATCCCAAAATCTTGGGACCAGAAGTGTCTTAGATGTTGGAATTTTTTCAGATTTTGAAATATATGCATGTATGTAATGAGATAATCTTGGGAATGAGACCCAAGTCTCAAAATAAAATTTATTCATGTTTCATATACACCTTAAACATATAGCCTGAAGCTAATTTTACATAATATTTTAAATAATTTTGTGCATGAAACAAAGCTTTGGCTGTTTTTTGAACCCGACCTGTCACTTGAGGTCAGATATGGAATTTTCCACTTCAGGCATCATGTTGGTGCTCAAAAAGTTTCAGATTTTGCAGGATTTCAGATTTTTGGATTAGAGCTGCTTAACCTGTACCAATGCCCAGACCCTAACCCAGATGAATTGAATCAGAATCTCAAGAGTGGGGCCTAAGTGCTAGAATTTTTCAAAAGCTCCTCACGGGGTTATTGAGTATTTACATTCAATATTCAGCACTGTGAAAATTCATTCCAGTGGAAAAATTATGATATAGAATTAAGCATACCCATGTACTAGTTTTGAATCGAAAAAAGAAAAAATGAACTATGCCATTGTTTGAGTAAGGAAATAAATGGATAACTTGAATATATAGAATAGGATTTTTTTAAAGTGATGACACACATACATATATTTAAAAAGGGATGTGATCTCGCTGTGTTGCCCAGGCTGGTTTTGAACTCCTGAGCTTAAGTGATCCTCCTACCTTTGCCTCCCAAAGTGCTGGGATTACAAGCATGAGCCACCATGCCTGGCCACAAATTTCTTTAATGTTGCAGATTGTTCAACTTAGTAGAAACAGGTTGGTGAAAATTCAAGACTTGTTCCCCCATTATCATTAGGGTCACATAGTGTGCAGTGACATCTAATATCATCAGCAATGTAATTATAACTAATAAATTGTTAAAATTTCTTGGGTGTTTACCATGTGCCAGACTGTTTTTATTTTTTGAGACAAGACCTCACTCTGTCACCCAGGCTGGAGTGCAGTGGCACATTCATAGTCCACTGCAACCTTAAGCTCCTGGGCTTAAGGGATCCTCCTGCCTTAGCCTCAGCTGGGACTACAGGCGCATGTCACCTTACCTGCTAATTTTTTTTTTTTTAAGGCGAAATCTCACTTTGTTGCCCAGACTGGTCTCAAATTCTGAGCTCAAGCAGTCCACCTGCCTTGGCCTCCCAAAGTGCTGGGATTACAGGCCCAGACTATTTTAATCATTTTATGTGTGTTAATTTGTTTAATCACCTCAGCAAACTATGAGGAATGGATTATTGTCATCATTGAAATGTATGAGGATACACAGAACTTTCTCAGTGTTATTATGTTAGTAAATGATAGAGCTGGGATTTGAACCCAACCTGTCTGATTCCAGAGCTCATGATTTATCTGTAACTTAATACTGCCTCTCATTTTATGAGGTCAAGTTTCAACTTAGAACTTTTTGTATTGAATTTAAGCTATAACTTATTAGGACTGGTTTATAATTTTTAGTACTAGTAAATCTTATGTGTATAATTATATAATTTGAACTTTGCTTTAGAAGTTTATTAGGCTTTTTTTTCTTTTTTTCATTATGTGGCTCTAAGACCAACAGATAGTGTTATAATATGAAAATATTTGAGGCATTGACCCTGATTGTAAGGCAGATGGAGCAGGAATGAGGGAAACATATCCAGACTTGAGCACTTGCCTTCACTGGCTTCAGTTGTTGAAACAGATTGCCTGAAGAAGTAGGAAGATGCTCTACATTTTGCCTACCATCTGTCCCAACTTAAGACACTTAGGCACGTAATTAAGACTGGTAACTCTCCCTCTCCTCAGTATTCTGTGGATGACTGCATATCTAGTAAAACAACTGGGTAGGAACTGGAGAGAGACTGGCAACAGCACTGGCACTGTAGGCGATATTCACACTGAAGTATAGCACCATGAATGGGAGCCGAGGCAGGTGGAAACCTGGCAACAGTGAAGGTTTATATTCTTCAGTGTAGTTTTTACATTTACCTACCTGATCTGTAAAAGACTGAGAGAAGTCATGGTATCAGGTTAAAGTATCCTACTGCTGTGTTTCCCAATTTCTAAGAGGGTTTTCATATGTATTTTGATGCAGCATTATTCTGCACATAAATATCATGTCTTGATTTGCCACTTTCACATTATACTATGACTTTACCTGTTAATGTAAAGTGACTATTTTTGTTCTTTTTAAAGCTACCTTGTTATTCTGCTTTGTCTCTCTCTCTTTTTTTTTTTTTTTTTTGTTTTGAGCTGGAGTCTCGCTCTGTCGCCCAGGCTGGAGTGCAGTGGCACAATCTCAGCTCAATTGCAACCTCAGCCTCCCGAGTAGCTGGGACTTCAGCCACGTGCCACCACACCTGGCTAATTTTTACATTTTTAGTAGACATGGGTTTCACCATGTTGGCCAGGTTGAACTACTGACCTCGTGATCCTCCCACCTTGGCCTCCCAAAGTGCTGGGATCACAGGCATGTGCCACTGTGCCCAGCCTGCTTTGTCTTATAATAATAATGGTGTCATGCCTGGCCTGCTTTGTCTCTTAGTAATAGTGACTTATAGCTGGGTACGGTGGCTCACCCCTGTAATCCCAGCACTTTGGGAAGCCAGGGTGGGTGGATCACTTGAGGTCAGGAGTTCAAGACCAGCCTGGCCAACATGGTGAAACCCCATCTCTGCTAAAAAATACAAAAATTAGCCGGATGTGGTAGCAGGCACCTGTAATTCCAGCTACTCTGGAGGCCTGAGGCAGCAGAATCACTTCGACCTGGGAGGTGGAGGTTGCAGTGAGTCAAGATCAATAATGTGTCTCTTTGCTTTCTTTTTTGTTGGCATTTTAATTTTATAACTTTGTCCGCCACTTTACCATATGATGACCTCAGTGTATTCTAAGGCTTTTGATAAAATTAAAAATCAATAGTTGCTAAAAACTCTGAGTTAACTGATTAGAAGTTCCTTAACATGAAAGTGAATTTCTATTCCAAATTGTCAGTTAAGATTCAAACTTCATGGTAGAATACTAGCAGCAGAAATTTAATATCATGAACACTCCAGTTGTTACAATAAAATACTTAACAGTAAACAACAAGAAATATGAGAGCAAGTAGAAAACTATAAGGAATCTAAAATATTTGATTAAGAGACCTGTGATACTGGGGTTGGGATTTTTTAACATATTAAAGATGTTATTTTTCCCCAAATCAATCTGTAAATCTGATTTTATCTAGTCAAATGCCAATAAAATTAGCTTTGAGCAAGTGACAGGATTACTATAAAATTAATTTGAAGAAATGGCTTAAATATTTTTGAAAAAGAATAACAATGTTTGGGGGCAGTGGGAAGAAGACCAGGCCAGGCACAGTGGCTCACACCTATAATCCCAGCAGTTTGGGAGGCCAAAACGGGCAGATCACTTGAGTTCAGAAGTTTGACACCAGCCTGGCCAACATGGTGAAACTCCATCTCTACTAAAAATACAAAATTAGCCAGGCATGGGGGCAGGCGCTTGTAGTCCCAGCTACTTGGGAGTCTGAGGCAGGAGAATCACTTGACCTTGGGAGGTGGAGATTGCAGTGAGCCAAGATTGTGCCCCTGCACTCCAGTCTGGGTGACAGAGTAAGACTCCATTTCAAAAAAAAAAAAAAAAAATTCAACTTCTGTCACTTACTGTGTGACTTTGCACACAAGGTTTATAACTTACACTGTGTGAAAAAAGAAACTGACATTTCTTTCTGTTTTTAGAGGATTATTTTAACAAAGGGAAAAGTGAGTCTGAGGACAGTAAGCTTCGATTCGAAACTTATCAGTTGTTATGGCAGCAGATGAAATCTGAAAATGAGGTGAATACTTTTTTTAATAACTTTTCTGTAACATTGTAAGTCTCATTTTTGTTGCTTCTCATCTTCCTTTCCACCAGTTTACAAGAGAATTGATGAAATATAGGAAGTATTGGTGAAGCATAACCTGTGTATCATTAAAAAAACAACCATAATCCAGCCTAGGTAACTTGGTGAAACCCTGTTTCTACAAAAACTACAAAAATTAACCAGGAATGGTGGTGTCCACCTGTAATTCCAGCTACTTAGGAGGCTGAGTTGGGAGGATCACTTGAACCTGGGTGGTAGAGGTTGCAGTGAGCCAAGATAGTACCACTGCACTCTAGCCTGGGTGACAGAGAGAGACCCTGTCTCAAAAACAAAAATGAACAAACACTCATATTTCTTGTGAATGGAATAGATGTTTATGATAGCCGTTAAGGCAAGGAGCTTTCAAATGGTGACACTCAAATTATCCATTCAGGTACACAACTATGAAATCAAGCTGTTTCTAAACTCCTTTACTTTCTCATCTTTATATTTCACCTCTGAAAAATTTCTTCACTGTAGCAAATTAGAAGTTCTAGGGGCAACATTTTAGGCTGACAACTTATTTTCTTTGGCCAACACAGTGTTGTAGTTTTTGTTTTTAATTGCCTTTGGGAGGGTTATATACTTTCCAGTTTATTACTGCCACCTACCTGTCCTTACTGATTTACACCTAGTGGTTTTGCTCATTCATGTATTCCATGTGATCCCTTCAAGGTATTTGAGTTTGTGGTTTCCCATTTAGGCCCTCTTCATTTCTTAATCTGGATTGTCATAATATCCTCCTAACTGGCATTCCTGACACCACTAGCCAAATTAGAAAACACCCTCTTCAAGGCAAATGCAGCCCAATTCCAGGCAACCCCTCTAGCCCTGCTGCCAGATTAACCATTCTTAACCTTGATCTAATCATGTCTTTACTTCACATCCCTTCAGTGGTGCTCCCCAAAGGTTAAAATCCAAACCCTTTAATGTCATATCGTAAATATGTGAGACATTAAATCATATATATTTATATATAAAACATATATGTACATGTATATGTGTGTGTGTGTACATATATATATACACCTTTTTAAAATTTTTATTTTTTTGCTCTGTCACCCAGGCTGGAGTGCAGTGATATGACCATAGCTTACTGCAGCCTTGACCTCCCAGACTCTCAGCTTCCTGAGTAGCTGGGACCACAGACATGCACCACCACACCCAGCTAATTTGTTTTTTTATCTGGAAAGATGAGGTCTCGCTATGCTAACCAGGCTTGAGAGGGAATTTTTAATGGGGGAATCCAAAGCACTGATTTCTAGAGATTTAAGGAAAAAACATTTTTTAATTAGGTTCATCTTTTGATCATTTTACATTATTGAATTCATGACAATTTTCTTTCTAAAACCAGGAAAGACATCTGATTCATATTTCTAATAATAATTTTTGGTGTGTTCTTTGTAGCGACTACAAGAGGAATTAAATAAAAACTTGTTTGACAATCTAATTGAATTTCTGCAAAAATCTCATTCTGGATTCCAGAAGAATTCAAGAGACTTGGGCTGTCAAATAACACTTAGAGAAATTCCAACTGCTGCTCTTGTTCTTGGTATATATGCATATGTTTGTTCATGCATGCATCTCTGTGTATTTTGTGTTTAAAAAAAATTTTTTTTTATTGTTGAGAATAGTGGAGAAGGACCTGTTTTGATGAACCCGTTTTGTCACTTTTATTTATACAGTTAAGCCAACTATATTTTACGTATTTTCAAAAACCAATAAAAATTGTTTATATCTTTACAGATAATCATATGTTTGTAAGTTAAAAGGAATTTATCTAGCTAATGTTCTCCCCAACTTTTGGTCAGAAGGGAAAATATATTTGTTTTACTCTTTGTACATATATTACAAGAGTATATGAGATTTGATAATAAAGAAACTACCAGTGTTAGTAGATTTAGTTTTCATACTTCTTTTAGTCATATCTTCAATGGAATTTCTCTATGACCTTAATTTTATTTTCCTGTGTATAGTTTTCCAGTCTTAGATTGTTTCATTATATTTATATTAATACCTACAAGTCAGCGTTTGGATGGTTGGATTGCATATAAATTGCTTTCAAATTGCAGGTTGTAAATGTCTTAGGTACTTAAATATCCATCATTAATAGCTCATCTTTACTAAACATTTGGATTCCAGGACAATGGAAAAAATTTTTTTGGAATATTAGCAAATTTCCTTCATTCCCTTTGAAAGCAAAGTTGAATTTATTTGAGTTCCAAACATGCTCTTAATTTCACTTTCAGTTTATTCAAGATTTGTTACACTAGTTAGCTCTGAGATAAGAAATTAATTCTCAACTTCAATGTACCCACAAATAACCTCCAGGGATCTTATTAAAATGTAGATTTTGGCTAATGGGTCTGGGGCGAGGCCTGAAATTTTGCATTTCTGAAAGGGTACCAGCTGATGCCCATATTGCATCACACTAATAAGACTCAAGGGAATGATTTTTATGATGTTGTGGACCAGATTTACAATGCAATATCTAAAAACTCTTCCATTTGATGAAAAACTGAGGCCCAGTGATGACCCACTTGTACCAAGCTAATGGAAAGCATGTTTTAAAATCATTATCTGAGAAGAACATTTTTCTAGTTAAACACATTGTTGATGATCTTGTTTGCAATAGACAAGTTCATTGTTTTATAATATAAATATAATGAATATGTTATTAATAAATAGCTTATAGCCAGTCAGTGAAAGACAAGATAAACCAGCATTTTACTGAACTTCTAAATTTGTTTAGGAATGCCTTATAATCCTAGACCATAATGCATGCTAGGAATAGTTTTGATATTCTGCATTTTCAATATCCATTTAAAAAATAGCCTTCTAGTATTTTTAGGCTCTCATGGAAAAAAAATGGCTTATTATTGCTGGCGTGGATGATTCTGAAATTTTTCTTTTTTTTTTCCGAAGCAATGAGAGTTTTGCAGTTGCAACTCTTAAGCAGTTTGAAAGTGGCTGTTGCTGCTATCTGCGTAAGCACCAAATGACTGTCTAGAAATCACAGGTGGTTATGTTAGGGAAGATACCAGTTAACAGAGTTTTTTTCCAAAGTAGTAGGAAACGTTTTACTCAAAAATTTGGTAACTGTATGCAGTACCTTGAAACTCTGATTTACAGAAATGAAAACCAGGGATTCCATAAATACCAAAAGAACCAATAGTTTTACTTTTTCAAAATTTTTATGAGACGGTCTTACCATGTTTGCCAGGCCGGCCCTGAACTCCTGCTTCAGGTGATCTTCTCAAAGTACCGGGATTATGGGTGTGAGCTACTGCACCTGGCCAGTTTTAATTTCCTTAAAGAGCTCGTTATGAATTTTACAAAGCAACGAAATTACTTTTAAGATGTTTTCAAGGGTCAGCCGGGCATGGTGGCTCACACCTGTAATCCCAGCACATTGGGACGCTGAGGCGGGCAGATCACTTGAGGTCAGGAGTTTGAGACTAGCCTGGCCAACATGGTGAAACCCTGTCTCTACTAAAAATACAAAAATTAGCCATGCCTGTAATTACAGCTACTCAGGAGACTGAGGCAGCAGAATCACTGAACTTGGGAGGTGAAGGATGCAGTGAGCTGAGATTGAGTTGCTGCTCTCCAGCCTGGACAACAGAGCAAGACTCCATCTCAAAAAAAAAAAAAAAAAAGGTGTTTTCAACTACACATCCCTGTAATTTGTTTGAAAGAAGAACTGTGCTAAATATCTTTCCTGACAAATATAGTGTATGCCTTTGGATAGCTATTGTTAAAGGATATCTCCTCATTTATGTAGTACATTTTCTTGGTTTCTGTTATTAATCATTTTTTAAAATGTTTTTACTTGTTAGTTTGCTTGATAAATAGGTTTTGTCATTGTTAAATTATTATTAGTAAAAATGGTGATGTAACATTGATGTATTATCCCATAGGTGTGAATGTCACAGATCATGATTTAACATTCAGAAGTCTAACAGAGGCCCTTCAGAATAATGTCACACCATATGTAGTCTCATTGCAAGCTAAAGATTGTCCAGGTAAAATATAAATGCCATAATAACCTTGGTGAGATGTTACAGACTTCTTTCATCCTTTTCTGTCTTTTTCAGGCTTTCTTTATCCCTTTTTATTTGTGGAAAGAACACTGTGCTGTTTTTGGCACACTGTGCTGTTTAGGGGCTCTTAGAGTAATTGTGACTGTAATAGAACTCTGCCTCCCTTTGCTGTCTTTATTCTTGACCCATTTCTGTCCTATCAGCTTAACTGCTGGTAGCAGTCCAGGTATTTTGCAAGATGCATTCTTTGACCCACTGAAATGTTTAATAAGTAGAAAGACTTAAGACAGAAAGCTGAGAATTGAGGAATGTGGAGCTCTTGTTCAGTTTAAAAGCGAGTAGACTTCATGGGCTCATGTTTCAGGCATAAATCATCTTATTGTCCCACTTTGAAAAGCCACCATGGTGAAAAATAGTCCGTTGACAGACCTAATCCTAAGCGTAGAAAGCCATGAAATCATAGAGTGTTCACACTAGTATAGTAAAAAGCTCTTTTTTTTTTTTTTTTTTGAGACAGGGTCTCACTCTGTTGCCTAGGCTGAACTATAGTAGCACAATCATAGCTCAGTGCCACCTTGAATTCCTGGCCTCAAGCAATTCTCCCACCTCTGCCTCACCATAGCTAGGACTACCAGTGCATGCCACCATGCTCCCATGCTCAGCTACATTGTTTTTTGTTTTGTTTTGTTTTTTTTGGTAGAGATTAGGTCTTGCTATGTTGTCCAGACTAGTCTTGAATTCCTGGGTTCAAATAAATCCTCCTACCTCGACTTCTCAAAGTGCTGGGATTACATCTTGAGCCACTATGCCTGGCCCTAATATAGTAAAATTTGTTTGGATTTAGACTGATAAAAGAATTTTGTGGGCTTATATTGCTTTCACATTTATAAGCTAATTGAAATTAAATAAAAGTCCTTAAAGGCATCTTTAAAAATGGCTATATGAAGGATTTATAATTACTAAAATAATTTGTATGACACCTTTGATTTTTCTCAGGGACCTTGAAAATAGTTTATTGTCGAATGTAATTTAAATACATATTCCTAAGATTTATAGTTTGCATATCTACACATCTGCTTATGTGGTCTTTTCATTATAGATAATATATGTAAGTGGCCGGGAGTGGTGGCTTACGTCTGTAATCCCAGAACTTTGGGAGGCTGAGGCAGGTGGATCATTAGGTGAGGAGTTTGAGACCAGCCTGGCCAATGTGGTGAAACTCTGTCTCTACTAAAAAAATACAAAAATTAGCCAGGCATGGTGATATGTGCCTGTAATCCCAGCTACTGGGGAGGCTGAAGCAGGAGAATTGCTTGAACCCAGGAGGTGGAGGTTGCAGTGAACTGAGATCCTGCCACTGTATTCCAGCCTGGGCAAAAGAGAAAGACTCCATCTCAAAAAAAAAAAAAAAAAAAAAAATAATAATAATAATAATATACATAGGCTTTGGTCTAGTCTTAGTCTGAATTAATGAAGCTACTAATGAGCATCAACTGTTAATATGTTAAATGTTATATTAGCTATATTGATGGTACATATAAAAAAGCACATTCTACCAAAAAAAAAAGTAATATACTAAACAAGAAATTTCAAGAGCTTTAGTTTTCTTTTTAGAAGAGGCAGACATAAGCTTTCTTTTTATATTCCACAGATATAAAACATTTTTTGCAAAAGTTGGTCTCACAGTTGATGGACTGCTGTGTAGATATAAAATCCAAAGAGGAGGAAAGTGTTCAGGTGACCCAGAGAAAGAGACATTATTCAATGGATTCACTTTCCAGTTGGTATATGACTGTCACACAGGTAGATATAAACCGACAATTTTCTCCCAGGAAATTGACATATGATTGATGGGGCTTGGAATAATATTAGACGCAGTACTGTTTTCATCTAACAAGGATATGCTTCTGCAACATTAGGTGTTAATTTAAGAGTAGCTATTTATTTTTTCTAATGCTACTCAAATTTTAAAATGGTCTTTTATTAGTATGCAGCCTAATTCCTGTTAAGTGCTTAGGTATTTATAAGGTAATTACAATTTATATTATTTGGGGAGAATATTCCCTAATGACAAAAACAGAGAGTCAGGAATTGCTTCTGTTGCAGGTTCCGTCTCTGTGACAGTAACTATAACTTTAATATATTATCTCTTAGGTTCTGCAATGTTTGCTTTGTTCAATTGAACCATGCTGCTAGTATCCACTGTCAATTTAGTTCAATGAAGAATAGTCATGTATTTTCTAAAATCTAATTTGTTTCATGTTTAGAGTTCTTAGGGAATCATTGCTCTTTAAAGTATGTTTGACAAACAGATAAATAAAAAGAAGTTCTATTCTACCATGACAGTCTGGTGAAAAAGAATAATCTAGGTTAACACTAGGTAACTGCATCATAAAACCATAGCCTTAGTTTATGGTGCTGTGTAGCCAGACAGTATGGGGAAAAAAATACTGTGGTTACATTTTCCAATTAACATTTTTGCTGAAATCATCATAAGTGAAGTTTCATTTTGCTTTATGTAGGGACTGAACTATGTCTAATGCCTAATGCTTACCATAATACCAAAGGTTCTATATAGTTTAGTCGCTATATAAAGCAAAATTAAATTTTCTCTTCTTCCATGTTTTTTTTCTGTCATTTCCTTAGCAGAAAATATAAATATTTCAAAGAGTTACAGATTTTACTGAATCTTTTTCTTCTTGGTTATTATTCCCATGTCAGACACAGAAAGATTCTAGTAACCTGAGTTTCTATTTATTATGTAGGAGAAATAAAATAAACAATGTTACTGTGAAATTTAAAGACAGATACATCAACATGTGGCATTATAACACTGTTTGAACGGTAAGGCTGACCTTTAACTCTTTCTTTCTGCAATGGCTTAAAAGAAGAGAGACCCAAAAATGCCAAGCAAAAAGAGGACCACTTCTAGCCAATGGCAGTCTCCTCCTGTTGTGGTTATCTTGAAGGATATGGAAAGCTTTACCACAAAAGTACTGCAAGACTTCGTAATTATCAGCAGGTAGATGGTGTATCGCTTGGCTTTTATGAAAAATTCCCGTCTTGGCCGGGCGCGGTGGCTCAAGCCTGTAATCCCAGCACTTTGGGAGGCCGAGGCGGGTGGATCACAAGGTCAAGAGATCGAGACCATCCTGGTCAACATGGTGAAACCCCATCTCTACTAAAAATACAAAAAATTAGCTGGGCATGGTGGTGCATGCCTGTAATCCCAGCTACTCAGGAGGCTGAGGCAGGAGAATTGCCTGAACCCAGGAGGCGGAGATTGCGGTGAGCCGAGATTGCGCCATTGCACTCCAGCCTGGGTAACATGAGTGAAACTCCGTCTCAAAAAAAAAAAAAAATTCCCTTCTTAAGAAAACATTACTTTTAACTTGAAAAGTATAGTCTTCATTTTAATACCAACTGGATAGAAATCAAAGTGTTCAAAATTTTTATAATTGAATGTTCAAAGACCTCTTATCGGATTTTCCATTTGCTTTTTGATCCAAGAATGAGAATCAAAGGCACATTTAGCCAGTTTTAAATTAACATGGTAAGATAGTATTAAATATGGTTTATCTTACCAAGGCTGACTGTCTCTTACTCATCCATTCAATAGTTAAACTACTCCAGGTTGAATTGTTGTTGCTTTGTTTTGTTTTTTTTTGTGTTTTTTTGGTTTTTTTTGAGACAGAGTTTTGCTCTGTTGCCCAGGCTGCAGTGCAATGGTACGATCTCGGCTCACTGCAACCCCTGCCTCCTGGGTTCAAGGGATTATCCTGCCTCAGCCTCCCAGGTAGCTGGGATTACAGGTGCCCACCACACACACACAGCTAATTTTTGTATTTTTAGTAGAAATGAGGTTTCACCATGTTGGCCAGGCTGGTCTTGAACTCCTGACCTCAGGTGATCTGCCTGCCTCAGCCTCCCAAAGTGCTGGAATTACAGGCATGAGCCACCACGCTTGGCCAGGTTGAGATTTGTATTAGGTCTTATTTTCTGATAACTGTCCATCCTTAGATGTTCTGAATTGCATATAGCTTTACTAAGCAACAGTGTCTTCTAAATAACATTATCCTACATTTACATAACATTTATAGTGAGAAACTATTTTCATGATCACATTGGATCTTCAAAACAATCATGTGAGACTCAATTGAAATGAAGTCTTGTTTTAAAATCCAGTGACATGCATTTTCCATGGTGTATTTTTTGGCATAGAATTTGTCAACTTGCTTTAATAGTTATAGCTACATTTGCCTAAAGCTATGTATTGTGTTATAATTTACTAATATACTTTATTTTATTTTATTTTGGAGACAGAGTCTCGCTCTATCCCCCAGGGTGGAGTGCAGTGGTGCGATCTTGACTTACGGAAACCCCATGCCTCAACGTCCCAAGTAGCTGGGATTACAGGTGCCCACCACCACGCCCAGCTAATTTTTGTATTTTTAGTAGAGATGAGGTTTTGCCATATTGGCCAGGTTGGTCTCAAACTCCTGACGTCAGGTGATCTACCTTCCTCGGCCTCCCAAAGTGCGGACATTATAGGCATGAGCCACCTGATCCGGCTAATTTACTAATATACTTTAAATTCCTACTTTGATAGTGTCTTCCCCTCCTCCCCCCAACCCATTGATTCTAAGAGTTCTAGATCCTAGGACTTTCTTTTCTTTTTTTATTGTGTCAGGGTCTGGCTCTGTCACCCAGGCTGGAGTGCAGTGGCACGATCTTGCCTCACTGTAGACTCCGCCTCCTGGGCTCAAGCAGTCCTCCCTTTTCAACTCCCCAAGTTGCTAGGACTACAGGCACATGCCACCACGCCTGGCTGATTTTTGTATTTTTTGTAGAGATGGGGTTTTGCCATGTTGCCCAGGCTGGTCTCGAATTCCTGGTCTCAAGTGTTCTGCCCACCTCAGTCTCCCAAAGTGCTGGGATTACAGGCATGAGCACACCCAGCCCAGATCCTAGGACTTTTCTTAATGCTAACATTGAACTGCTTAGTATGCTGTGAAAGTACACAGTACAAAATAATGACAGAAAAGCTGTACTTTTTTTGGAGCTTAGACTTATGACTACCTTAGCCATCAAAAGTGAGAACTATAGGTAGGGTTCAAAAGTTTGAGTGAGAGATTAAATTGAATGCTATCTAACATCTCTTCTAACACTTAAGATTGTATAATCTTCGGCTGGGTGCGGTGGCTCATGCTGGTAATCCCAACACTTTGGGAGGCTGAGGTGAGTGGATTACCTGAGGTCAGGAGTTTGAGACCAACCTGACCAATATGGTGAAACCCTGTCTCTACAAAAATTAGCCAGGTCTGGTGGCGTGCGCCTGTAGTCCAGCTACTGGAGAGGCTGAGGCAGGAGAATCGCTGGAACCCAGAAGGTGGAGGTTGCAGTGAGCCAAGATTGCACCACTGCACTACAGCCTAAGTGATAGAGTGAGACTCTGTCTCAAAAAAAAAAGATTGTATAATCTTCGGGAAACCTTTCTGGACCTCTCTGTTCTTTTTATAAAATGAGGGGCTCCATTAAGATTATTTCAGAGCTAGAATATCTGGGAAGTAAATATTTCTCTGTTTAATAGAAGAAAGTGAAGGACCTAGGAAATTTTTGTATTTGCAATGATAATCCTTAACGGATGTCTTATAAAGTGAGCATTAAAATAAAGTTTGTCTTATATGAAATATGATGTATTGAAATATATTTGCTAAATACATTTCACTTTTGTGACTTTCTTTCAAAACTAGTCAACATCTGCATGAATTTCCACTAATACTCATTTTTGGAATTGCCACATCTCCTATTATCATCCATCGATTGCTTCCTCATGCAGTATCATCTCTGTTGTGCATAGAACTGTTCCAATCTTTGCCTTGCAAGGAGCACCTGACTACAGTACTCGATAAGGTAAAAAGAAGAAGTTTTACCAGTGAATACGATGAAAAGAAAACTGCTGATTATAGATTGTTAAGATAACTGTTAATAAGTTTCTACAACTCTCTGAGTACTATATTGAACGTCTTCCCTCACATACTTAATATTTTTACTTAATAATTTTTGTAGTGTTGTACAGTTTTACAGTGATTTTATATATTACCTCCAGATAAAATACAAGCTTTATGAAAAGAGTGATCGTATCTATCTATATGCTTATCTCTTTATATTTTTACTCAGTAAAAAATTATAGGTCTTTAAAATAAACTTTTACAGAATTTGTAGACTTCCTAGTAACAATATATTTTTACTTTTACATTTTGGTTTTTTTAATTTTTTTTTTTTTGAGAAGGAGTGTAGCTCTGTCACCTAGGCTGGAGTGCGGTGGGATGATCTTGGCCCACTACAACCTCTGCCTCCCGGGTTCAAGTGATTCTCCTACCTCAGTTTCTCGAGTACGTGGGATTACAAGTGGTGCGCCACCACGCTTGGCTAATTTGCACTTTTAGTAGACACAGGGTACCAACCATATTGGCCAGGCTGGTCTGGAACTCCTAATCACAAGTGGTTACCCACCTTGGCCTCCCAAAGTGCTGGGATTATAGACATGAGCCACCACACCCAGCCTGACTCTTACATTTTGTATAAAATGATTTGAAGTTATTAGTGGACTGTTTCCTAACTGATTTGTCATGCTGCTCTTGACAACAAATAAATACTAACATGTTCCTAGACCTTAGCAACTAAAGTTAATTGACTATATTTCTACATAAATGCAAGTATGATTTTTTAATATTGATTGCATTAGTCTGTTCTCATGCTGCTGATAAAGACATACCTGAGACTGGGCAGTTTACAAAAGAAAGATGTTTAATGGACACATAGTTCCACTTGGCTGTGGAGGCCTCTCACAATCATGGTGGAAGGCAAGGAGGAACAAGTCACATCTTATGTGGATGGCAGCAGGCAAAGAGAGAGACCTTGTGCAGGGGAACTTTTCTTTATAAAACCATCAGATCTGATGAGACTTATTCACTGTCATGAGAACAGCATAGAAAAGACTTGCCCCCATGATTCAGTTACCTTCCACCAGGTCCCTCCCACAGCACTGGCAAATTCAAGATGAGATTTGGGTGGGGACACAACCAAACCATATCATTCTGCCTCTGGCCTCTCCCAAATCTCATGTCCTCTCCCAAATCTCATGTCCTCTCCCAAATCTCATGTCCTCACATTTCAAAACCAATCATGCCTTCCCAACTGTCCCCCAAAGTCTTAACTCATTTGAGCATTAACTCACATGTCTACAGTCCAAAGTCTCATCTGAGTCAAGGCAAGTCCCTTCTGCCTATGAACCTGTAGAAGTAAAAGCAAGTTAGATACTTCCTAGATACAATGTGGGGGGGGGTACAGGCATTGGGTAAATACAGCCATTCCAAATGGGAGAAATTGGCCTAAACAAAGGGCTACAGGCCCCATGCAAATCCAAAATCCAGCGAGGCCATCAAACCTTAAAGGTCCAAAATGATCTCCTTTGACTCCCATTTCTCACATCTTGCTGACGCAAGTGGTGAATTCCCACAGTCTTTGGCAACTTCACTCCTGTGGCTTTGAAGGTTACATACCCACTCCTGGCTGCCTTCACAGGCTGGTGTTGCACGTGGTGCAAGATGTCAGTGGATCTACCATTCTGGGGTCTAGAGACTGGTGACCTTCTTCTCACAGCTCCACTAGGCAGTGCCCCAGCAGGGACTCTGTGTGGGGGCTCTGACCCCACATTTCCCTTTTGCACTGCCCTAGCAGAGGTTCTCCATGAGTACCCTGCCCCTACAGCAGACTTCTGCCTGGGCATCCAGGCATTTCTATACATCTTCTGAAATCTAGGCGGACCCAAACCCAATTCCTTTGTGCACTCACAGGCTCAACACAACGTGGAAGCTGCCAGGGCTTGGGGTGTGCACCCTCTGAAGCCATGGCCCAAGCTCTATGTTGGCGCCTTTCAGCCACAGCTGGAGTGGCTGGGACGCATGGCACCAAGTCCCTAGGCTGCACACAGCATAGGGACCCTGGACCTAGCTCATGAAACCACTTTTTCCTCCTAGGTATCCAGGCTTGTGATGGGAAGGGCTGTTATGAAGACCTCTAACATGCCCTGGAGATATTTTCCCCATTGTCTTGGGGATTAACATTTGTTTCCTTGTTACTTATGCAGATTTCTGCAGCTGGCTTGAATTTCTCCTCAGAAAATGGGATTTTCTTTCTATCTTATTGTCAGGCTGCAAATTTTCCAAACTTTTATGCCCTGCTTCCTGCATAAAACTGAATGCCCTTAACAGCACCCATGTCACCTCTTGAATGCTTTGCTGCTTAGAAATTTGTTCCACAAGGTACCCAAAATCATCTTCCACAAGTTCAAAGTTCCACAGATCTCTAGGGCAGGAAGAAATGCTGTCAGTCTCTTTCCTAAAACATAACAAGAGTCACCTTTGCTCCAGTTTCCAACAAGTTCGTCCTCTCCATCTGAGACCCCCTCAGCCTTGATTTCATTATCCGTATCATTATCAGCATCTTAGTCAAAGACATTCAACAAGTCTCTAGGGAGTTCTAAACTTCCCCACATTTTCTTGTCTTCTCTGAGCCCTCCAAACTGTTCCAACCTCTGTCTGTTATCCAGTTACAAAGTCACTTCCACATTTTGGGGTATCTTTTTAGCAGCACCCTACTCTACTGGTACCAGTTTACAGCATTAGGCTGTTCTCACACTGCAGATAAAGACATACCTGAGACTGGGCAATTTACAAAAGAAAGAGGTTTAATGGACTCACAGTTCCACATGACTGGGGAGGCCTCACAATCATAGTAGAAGGCAAGGAGAAGCAAGTCACATCTTACATGGATGGCAGCAGGCAAAGAGAGAGAGCTTGTGTAGGGGAACTTTTCTTTATAAAACCATTAGATTTCGTAAGACTTATTCAGTATCACGAGAATAGCATGGGAAAGACTTGTCCCCATGATTCAATTACTTTACCTTCCACCAGGTCCCTCCCACAGCACTTGGGAATTCAAGATGAGATTTGGGTGGGGACACAGCCAAACAATGTCATTGACTGTCCCCAAATTGCTTCTAGACTCAACTCCTTTAAGATGTGCTTTATGCTGCTTATGTAAGGTAAACTAATAACAAGCTGCCCACAAATTTACTAGCCACTTATACACAGGGTTTATTTTTTTCCATATAAAAATATAAAGGTGATTTATTGACACTTTAAGGAAAATTTTTTCCAGCTACAATTTTTAAATTTGCTTGGCTAAGCTGGGTAGGGTGGCAAGCACCTATAATCCCTGCTACTTGGTAGGCTGAGGTGGGAGAATCATTTGAGCCCAGAAGTTCAAGGCTACAGTGAGCTATGATGCCACCGCTGCACTCCAATCTGGGCAAAAAAGCAAGACCTTTCCTCTACCAAAAAAAAAAAAAAAAAAAAGCAGAAACAGCTTGGTTATAGCCAAATTCAACTGGCCTTCTACAACTATGCTTCTGTTTAAGAAGCTTTGTGTGACTTTTCATTTTCAGATGTAAAACGTCACTACAGACCATTGAAAATTAGCCAAATAATACAAATTTAGCAATTGTATACTTTTTAAATAGACATCTGTGTTAATTTTGTATTTCTCATTCAATAATACATAAAATGTTACTCTTCATTACTCTGAATCAGTAGGAATGAAAAAAATCTCATCTGGTCGTAAGAATTGCCAAAGCCTGCAGCTTCTTCAGTGGTTTCTTGTGAGGGGAAAAAAAAGGATCATATAGTTAATAGGTGGTATTTTTAAAATTAGGAATTTGATGGAAGATGGTATAATCTTTGGTTCTGAGGATATAGTATAAATAGCTTCTTTTTGTTACTGTTGTATAAATTAACTTAAAATTTTTGTTGACATTTCAGCTTAAAAAACTAGCTACTATCTCAGCTTTCATTGTTAACTATGTCATAGTATCATTCTTTGCCTCATTATTAATACTTCATATTTATGAAGAGTGAAGACTAATAAGGAGTGTGCCCCTCTCCCGTTTAATCTCTTTCAGCTACTTCTTACAACTCAGTTTCCCTTTAAAATAAATGAAAAGGTATTACAGGTTCTGACCAACATCTTTTTGTATCATGATTTCTCAATTCAAAACTTTATAAAAGGACTTCAGGTAAGAACACACTAATGGGTTTGAAAATTCTAAGCTGATTCTAAATAATTTACGCATTATTTCAGACTGTGTAGTATGATAGGCATTTTAAATGGCAAAATCTAGAATAAGTAAATTCCAGTTATTTTATTCTAGATTCTACCACTCCTTTGTTACCTTGCAGCAAAATGTAGAGAATACATTCATTAGGATATTAATAATGGGAAAAGACCTCTCTATTTCAGCAATTCTTAACCATTTAGGGGGAGTAGGGACAAGGGGACTTTTTTTTTTTTTTTTTTTTTTCGATTTGTTTCTGAGACTCTCATGAAAGCTTATAGACTTTTTCTACCAAGGAAATGCTGTATATAGGGTCCTGTAAAGGGCCAGATATTAAACACGTTTAGCTTTTTTTTTTTTGAAATAGAGTCTCACTTTATCATACAGGCTGGAGTGCAGTGGCACAACCTCGGCTCACTGCAACCTTTGCCTCCTGGGCTCAAGCGATTCTTCTGCCTCAGCCTCCCATGTAGCTGGGATTACAGGTGCGTGCCACCACTTCTGGCTAATTTTTGTATTTTTAGTAGAGATGGGGTTTCACCATGTTGGTCAGGGTGGTCGTAAACTCCTGACCTCAGGTGATCTGCCCACCTCGGCTCCCACAGTGCTGGGATTACAGTCATGAGCCACGGCTCCTGGCCCATTTTTAGCTTTGCATGCCACATGTGGTCACTGCTGTTGCTGCTTCTATTTCTTCTTCTTTAATAATCCTTTAAAGATATAAAAAATATTTTTAGTTCCTAGACCATGCCTGTGTCTATGTGTATGTGTGTCTGTAATTTGTATTTATTCTGATACGTTGGGAATGCATTTTCACTAGTTTTATGAATTGCTAATTCAGGAATTTAGCTTCATTATATGCTGTAACCTAAATAAGATCCCCATTCTCCAGTTGTTTAAAAGTTAGTATTATTTTATTTTCCTGGCAGCTACATAAGTATAGTCATTATGATAGTCTAGTTAATTAAAACCTATATATTATGCCAGGCACAGTGGCTCATGCCTATAATCCCAACACTTCCGGAAGTCAAGGTGGGAGGATCACTTGAGGTCAGGAGTTTGAGAGCAGCCTGAACAACATAGTGGGGCCTCATCTCTACTAAAAATTAAAAAATAAGCCAGGCGTGGTGGCTTATTTACAGAGTCCTAGGTACTCAGGAGGGTGAGGTGGGAGAATCACATGAGCCTGAGAAGTCAAGGCGGCAGTAAGCCGTAATTGTGCTACTGCACTCTAGCCTGGGTGATGGAGCAAGAGGCCTGTCTCTATAAAAACCAAACAAACAAAATTCAAATTTAAAAAACCCATATATATTAGTAACCTTTGGTGCAAAAGTTCAGTTTGATACTTCATCTTTGTGTAGTGCTTTGAAGATTACAATTTATTTCTCATATGTTTTCCTTCACAAAAAAGATGGCAGTGGTTTATTTGGCTAATACACATCTTTTCCTCCCATCTTTGACTTTTTAAAGAGTATTTTAAAGGAAGAAAGGATTATGTACCTTAGCAATATGTATAGAGTTAAATATTTTTTAAATTGAATTTAAATTAAATTAAACATATTTTAATAGTAGAATCCAGATGTTCATTATATGGATTCTAAGCAAACTTAATGTTAGAATCTGGAAAATCATCTTCCCTTCTGCTGTAGAGCCCACAGCATTCTAAGCAAACTTGTTAGAATCTGGAAAATCATCTTCCCCTCTATTATAGAGCCCACAGCATTTTACTATTAGAATACTTGTATCTACCAGTTTGGTCCACACCACATTTATAATTATTGTGTGTTGCGTTTGCAGATAGCAAATCTGTCCATTTATATTAGTTTCTTTTAGTTTGTATTTCAAAGATTACCATTTTCTGACCCTCTTCACAAAATCGGAACCTTAAAATATGAGAGTTATATAGCCATGTTGTGGTGTTTGCAGTGCTATTGTGACATTATTAAATATATTAGTGCCATAAATACTTTGGCTCTTAAAAAAAAAATCCTTAAGTTGAGCAGACATAGGGTAATAGATTTACTGCCAAAATATGATAAATATGTTTAATCTTCACATTTCTTTCAGCTTTCTCTGTTAGAGCATTTCTATTCTCAGCCCTTAAGTGTACTGTGCTGTAATCTTCCAGAAGCCAAAAGAAGAATAAATTTCTTGTCAAATAATCAGTGTGAAAATATTCGTCGTCTTCCATCTTTTAGGAGGTAAAAAGAGAAGTACATATTTAACACATCTTCTACTAGAGTTTGAGACTAAATAAGAGATCTCAGATCCATTTATTTCTGAAGTAGGGAAAGGAATAATTACCTGTTAAGTTCTCCACAGTTGCTTTTTAGAAATATTATTTCCTATTTCTGGGTCTTATGGCTTTTCTTAATGTTTGCATCTGAGACTATGAAGTGCAGCTAATTTAAGGAGTTTAAAATTGCCATTAAACCATAAATGTCATATTGAATTTATTTTTGAGAAGAAATGAAAAAAATGTGGCTACTAATTTAGATAGTTATTTTTCCCAATATGCTATTTAAATATGTTGAATGTTTAATTTTCTCTTTTTGTGTATGTAATGGTAAAAATTCTAGGTACGTGGAAAAGCAAGCTTCAGAAAAGCAAGTTGCTCTCTTGACCAAGGAGAAATGTTTGAAGGTAGGAATGTAAATGTGTTTCAGTTTCATTCTCTTTTTCTTTTCATTGAAGAATATGCACGTAACATTTATTGAGTTAAAACATTTGTGCATCTTAATATTGACACAGTGAAGTACTGTGTCTGGATAGTCACTTAGGAATGTGAGTTTTAAAAATGACCTAAAACCTTAGTTCTTAAGGATAAGGCTTTTTTAAATCAAGAAAAAGTATTAACTGAAACACCAAGTTTCTCTTGTGGCCAATTTTGAAAGCACCTTTAGATCTATAGAGATCTGCTATGTGACTCTTTTTCACATAGCAATTTTGGAATCTGCAGGCAATCTCAGCTGAATGTTCTTTTTAAAGGCCATGATAAATAAAATCATTTAGAAGCCAGGCAGCTTAGACATCTACTGCTAAGTGGGTATTGATTTGATTTGAAGAAATATCGTTATATATTGATAATATAATGCTAGAAAAGAAGTAATGAGCTTAGGAAATTATCAGTTGGCTGTGCAACATAGGGAATATCAAAAGAAGGAGGGCTATTTTTTCTTTCTTGAATAAATAATACTTGGATATGGTACATAATTCAGAAGGCAAAGGTAATATACAGTGAAAGGCTTCCTTTCATCTCTGTCCTCCAACTACCCATGTCCCTTCCCTGGATATAGCCAGTGTTACTAGTTTCTTATGTTTCATTCTAGAGGTAGTTTCCATACATACAAGGAATTATATTATATTTTGGCAGTTGCTTTCTTACGCTCTTCTGTACCTTCTTTTTTTTTTTTTTTTTCCCATTTATTTATTTTATTGCATTTTAGGTTTGGGGGTACATGTGAAGAACATGCAAAATTGTTGCATAGGAACACACGTGGCAGTGTGATTTGCTGCCTGTACCTTCTTTTGTACTTAATCTTGGAAATCATTCCATATTAGTACTGAACAGTGACATAGTAGTCTATTGAATTAATGTACCTTTTTTTTTAGAAAATGTCTCTTACTGATGAGTATTTAGAAACACCTGATGTCACATTTATTTTCATACTCCTCATGCCTTTTTTAGGGAAAAGTTGTTAGAATATTGTAATGATAGTAAGATGAGGTTGAAGGTAAGCCATAGTGCTAAAGATGAGTTTTGGTAATACATATGACTTTCAAATTTTGAACAAAAGAATGTTAGGTCTTATACATGTATAATTATATGCCAATTAAAAAATTTAAAATGTGTTTTAAAAAATGTTATGTTCTAGAGGGCATGTATTTACCTCCATTGGTAATCTATGACCGTTATAAATGCTGAAAAAATATTCAGAATGGCTTTTATTAAACATTATTTCTAATGTAGAATGCACACTGGGTCATAATAAAAAATCAGTTCTAGATTGGGTTCAATAATCATTTTAATAATCTCTCTAATGCCTTCAGAGCAATATAGGAGGTTCTCAGACCCCAGTACAGGTTGTTTTGCTGGGAAGAAATTTAAGAACTAGTGAGAAAGAATGTGTACGTTGAAATCTTTCAAGATTAGCTAGATTAGCTCTCTGCGGAGTCAGCTAGTTGCCAAGTCCATTTCCTGCTAGAACTTTCTGTCAGAGTGTATTTCAGAAGCCAGGAATAGATTTTTTTAAGAGTACTTTTAACCATTGACATGACAAAGACAGAGAAGGTCTAGGCTAGTGTATTACAGAAATTGCCTGACATTGGCCAGGCACAGTGGCTCATATCTGTAATCCCCGCACTCTGTGAGGCCCAAGTGGCCAGATCTCTTGAGGTCAGGAGTTCAAGACCAGGCTGGCCAACATAGTGAAACCCTATCTGTACTAAAAATAGAAAAATTAGCCAAGTGTTGTGGCCATGTGCCTGTACTCCCAGCTACTCAGGAGGCTGAGGTAGGAGAGTCACTTGAACCCAGGAGGCAGAGGCTACAGTGAGCCGAGATTGCACTGCTGCACTCCAGCCTGGGTGACAGAGTAAAAACCTGTCTTAAAAACAAAAAAGAGCCTTCCATTTATGTCTGCTTTTCAGTGACTTTTTGCATATTTTCTTAGCATTTATTTATACTATCATCGTTCTTGTTGCACTATCAGTTTTGCTTGTTATGATCTTTCCTGTATTCATTTTAAAATTACATACTTTGTCATTTAAGGGCATGTTTTCTTGAGATTTATACAGTGAGAATTATGAAGAAGCACAGAAATTTGTACCCTTACCCTGAAAAAGTTACCCATAGGCTACCTGCTGAAATCAAAAGATAGAAAATGTCTAAGAAAAACGTGAATGTTTTAGGCAGGGTACGGTGGCTCATACCTGTAATTCCAGCATTTTGGGAGGCTGAGTTGGGCAGATCACTTGAAGTCAGGAGGTCAAGACCAGCCTGGCCAAAATGGTGAAACCCCTTTCTACTAAAAATACAAAAATTAGACAGGCATGGTGGTACACACCTATAATCTGAGCTACTCCAGAGGCTGAGGCAGAAGAACCTCTTGAACCTGGGAGGTAGAGGTTGCAGTGAGCTGAGATAATGCCACTGCACTCCAGCCTGGGCAACAGAGCAAGAATCTGTGTTTAAAAAAAAAAAAAATGTGTTTATTGATTTTTTAAAGTTTAAAGTATCTTTGAATATTCTCATCATCATGCTTCTCTTTTTATAGTTTTATAAAAATACATGACAATAATATGGTACTACAAAATATAGAGGAAAATCCTGATCTTGACCTCAGAAATTTTGTATTTGAACTGCAGTTACTCATTAGGTATGCATATTTAAGAAAATCACTTGCCATACTTAAGCCTCAATTTTATATACAAAGTAGGATAATAGGCTGGGTGTGATGGCTCACACCTATAATCTCAGCACTTTGGGAGGCCTAGGCAGGCAGATCACTTGAGGCCAGGAGTTCGAAACCAGCCTGGACAGCATAGAGAAACCTCCTACTAAAAATACAGAAAATTATCCAAGTGTGGTAATGTGTGCCTGTTATTTCGGCTACTTGGGAGGCTGACACACTAGAATCCCTTGACCCAGGGAGGCAGAGGTTGCAGTGAGCCGAGATTGCACCACTGCACTCCAGCCTGGGCAACAGAGCAAGACTCTGTCTCAAAAAGAAAAAAGGTACGATAATAATTCCTAGTATGACTTTTTTCATAGGGTTAGTTAGATAATCAAAGTTTGTTCAGCAAATAAAAGTGAGTTGAAAACAAATATAACAATAAAACTTTTATAAACGTAAATATTGTTATGTATTTTTCACTCAAAAATTAACATATCAATATGAACATGGGCACAGGAAGGGTAACAATGCATACTGCAGTCTGGGGGGGTGGGGATAGGGAGAGCATCAGGATAAAAGTAGCTAATGCATGTGGGGCTTAATACCTAGGTGATGGGTTGATAGGTGCAGCAAACCACCACGGCACACGTTTACCTATGTAAGAAACCCGCACATCCTGCTCTTGTATCCCAGAACTTAAAATGAAATTTAAAAATTTAGCTGACTAAAGAATGTACATTTGTAGGTAATTCAGTAGGAATTTTCTACTAAGGAGGGACATTAGAAGGCCCAGTATAGCTGATGAAATACTAAAAATCTTCATACTATGTAGAAAGTTTAGATTCATTCCCTTGCAAATGACAGTTGAAGTTTTATTATTCTTTCTTGTTTACGTTTCATGTCTTTATACCTGTTTTCACAGCTAGATTCCAAATCATTTTAGAGTGGGAAATAAGCCTTGAACTTCTTAGAATTGTAATATGTTACTATTAGGAGGATGCCCTGATTTAGCACCCTCATTTCACAAATGAAGAACTGCAGCCAAGAGAAAGGAAGTGAAATATCTGAGGTCACACGTCAAGTTAGTGGTAGAGTAAGGACTTCTTTTCACCATTTAGTATGCTTATTATGGTGTAAAGGCACAAAATTAGTTCATGAGTTTGATAGAGACCTGCCTTTCACCTTTACCCCCACCTCTTTCTGTTTCTTTTGTCAGACCTACAGGGCAGACGGGGAGAAAATTTCTTAGAAAAAATAATAAATGGAAAAGTGAAGGAAAAAGGAAAACAACCGCAGTCTGTCAAATGTGATCAAATGAGCTAAACATTAGCCTAGTATGTCAAGAATTAATAATTTAAATTCAAACTCTTTGTCAAGTGCTTCTCTTGATCTAAACTGCTGGGGTAGGAATATGGAGAACAAAAGGCAGAGACAGATGAGAAGACTAGCACTCTTGCCACATAAGTGCTAGGAAAAAGCTGTGGTTTAGCATTCTTATTAGATAGCAGTAATATGCTAAGTCAAATCTGTAAAACACCGTTAGCCAGCATTTTTCTCTAATGAGAAAAATAAGGCTTTGTTATAACAAGATGATAAATGAGAATATGCTGTGCTCTTAGACAGCTGATACCTCTTAATCCTAAAATTCAACATTGTCTGTTTTACCAGCTCTTAGTGATCAGTGAAATAATTGAAAAGAAAATTACAGAAGTTTATAGTCATTTTACAAAATTTAATTTTGAGGTCACTGTTCACCCCTATACAATTCACCCGTATACAATTCTAGAGACAAAAGTGGTAAGTACTATGGAAGTAGAAGAGAGAGAAATGCAAGGTAAATGTTACTCTGCCTAGCCATTTTTTCTTTACCTATGTATTTAAGTTTTACATATATATTGATTTCTCCTCCAGAGAAAGCAGTTAGCTTTCTGGAGGAGAAATAACAATAGAGGCTCTGTCATGTAAGTAAAAAATAATATATGATTTTCAGAAGTAGATTCGGGGGTTACACGTGCAGGTTTGTTACATGAATATATTGGATGATGGTGAGGTTTTGGCTTCTAGTGTGCCCATCACCTGATAGTGAACATTGTACCTAATAAATAATTTTTCTGCCCTCACACCTCCCAACCCTACCCCTTTTGGAGTCCACAGAGTCTGTTATTTCCCTCTTTATATCCATGTGTACCCATTATTTAACTCTCACTTGTAAGTGAGAACATGCAGTATTTGATTTTCTGTTTCTTTCACTTAGAATGCTGGCCTCCCCTCCATCCATGTTGCTGCAAAAGACCTGCTATCAGTGAATGATTTTTATATGAATAATGGGATTCATAAGGTTGGAGATGACTAATTTAAAAGGATATATTGCACATTAAGTGGCAACCCCCAGTCTAGCATAAAGGACTTTTTTAAACATACCTTTTAAAAAATGTTAGAACCAATATTTACATATTGAGAAATTTTATGTTACAAATTCAGTCTTCTGTCTTTTGAAAAATCAGGAAATCTAGACCACATCCAGCAAGACAAAATATGTTTGCTCTTATTAAAAGAGAGACTGTGGCTGGCACGGTGGCTCACACCTGTAATCCTAGAATCCCAAATCACACACTTTGGGAGGCTAAGGCAAGCAGATCAGCTTGGGCAACATAGTGAGACCCCATCTCTACAAAAATTTACAGAAATTAGCCAGGTGTGGTGGTGTGCACCTATATATAGTCGTAGCTACTTGGGAGGCTGAGACAAGAGGGTTGCTTGACCTTAGGAGGTCAAGGCTGCAGTCAGCTAAGATGGCACCACTGCATTCCAGCCTGGTTGCTAAAGCAAGATCCTGTCTCAAAAATAAAAAATAAATAAAAGACGGAATGTTTGGTCTTCATTCATTAGTGTACTCTTCATTCAACCAATATTTTTTTAGTGCCTATAATGTGCCAGGTATTAAATCTAGGTTTTGAGAATACAGAAGTGAAAAAAACAGCCAAAATTCCTACCTTTTTCATTGTATCAGGGAGACAGACAGTAAGTAAGATAAGTAAGTAAAATGTCTGTTAGTGATAAGTGCTGAGGTGAAAACAATGAAGCAGAGAAGAGGCCTATGAAGTTCCTTGTGCATGGGAAGTGGAGTTGAAATTTTAAATAAGGGCCTGACTGTGAGAAGGTAGATTTTGAGTAAAGACCTAAAGGAAGTCATAGAGCTTGCCACTCGGGAATCTGGAGGAAGGGAATTCAAAGCAGGTAGAAAGGACCTGAGGTTGGATCATGTCTGCCATGTTTGAAGAAGAGCAAGGAGGCTGCCATGTATTGCTTTGCTTTTCTTTCTTCTTTTTGAGACAGTTTTGCTCTGTCATGCAGGCTGGAGAGCAGTGGTGCAATTATAACTTGCTGCAACCTCGAACTTCTGGGCTCAAGCAGTCTTCCCACCTCAGCCTCCTGTGTTTCTAGGATTACAGGCACATGCCACCATGCCCAGCTAATTAAAAAAAATTTTTTTTGTAGAAACAGTTTCTCTCACTGTGTTACTCAGTACTAAGCTGGTCTTGAACTCCCGGGTTCAAGTGATCTTCCCGCTATGGCCTCCCAAAGTGCTGGGATTACAGGCATGAGCCACTATGCCCAGCCTGTTTTTCTTATAGCAGAGAAATATTTCCATTCCTGTTATAAAAATCAGTAATGACTAAGAAGTCATCATGTCTGAAGAACAGAGAAATCATATTTCTTTAGTAAATAATGCATATTCCTAGACAAAGTATATCTCTGTAGAAAAGAATCATTCTAAACACAATTATGAAACAAAGTGGTGACAGCTATGACTAGTGTACAGAAAAAAATGCCTGAGGAAAAATTTAGTGAATGGGAAGTAGGGTTAATATTTCAACAGGCTTTATTTTCACATGTATGTGGTATGATGCTGCTGTAATATATTAAATGGAAAATTTTCTCATACATCAAAACCTTTTACAGGTTTGAGTTTGTAAAATAGTGTCCATAAAGTACATTAAGAATTACTGGTTTAAGGCCAGGTGCAGTGGCTCATATCTGCAATCCCAGCACTTTGGGAGGCCAAGGTGGGCAGATCACTTGAGGTCAGGAGTTCGAGACCAGCCTGGCCAACATGGTGAAATCCCATCTCAACTGAAAAAACAAAAATTATCCGGGTGTTCTGGCGGGTGCCTGTATTCCCAGCTACTCAGGAGACTGAGGCAGGAGAGCCTCTTGAACCCGGGAGGCGGAGGTTGCAGTAAGCTGAGATCACACCATTGCACTCCAGCCTGAGCAACAGAGCAAGACTCAGTCTCCAAAAAAAGAATTATTGTTTTGAATAAGTAAAGGCAGACACATATGTGCAGGCATCTAAGTAAGATGGAGAACCTAAGGACAGGTTATAAGAAAATGTTAATCATTTGTGATGTGTTTGTTGTGATCGATAGAAATACATATAAAAACAGTGAAATCTTTCTTACATGGAGATTAGTTTCTAAAGTCAGCACATAAGGCAAAGATCTGGGATAGTCAAAATTACTTCTGAAAAAAATCCCTTAGAAAGGTACAGCAAACCTTCTCTCATTCATTAAGTCCATCATAACCAGTCTTTTCCCCATTGTTGGAGCCAACCACCATTTCCTCAGTTCAGCACCAGATGACATACTCTGCCACATTGTATGGAACAAAACCAAACAATACAATACAAAACATTTTTTAGGCCAGGCACAGTGGCTCACACCTGTAATCTCAGCCCTTTGGGAGGTCAGGGTGGGCGGATCACTTGAGGTCAGGAGTTCAAGACCAGCCTGGCCAACATGGTGAAACCCCATCTCTACTAAACATACACAAAATTAGCTGGATGTAGTGGCAGGCATCTGTAATCCCAGTTACTTGGGAGGCTGAGGCAGGAGAATCACTTCAACCTGGAAGGCGGAGGTTGCAGTGAGCCGAGAGCAAGACTCCATCTTAAATAAAATAAAATAATGATTACTTTAAAATAAAACATTTTTTTAAACACTAGAACTCTACTCAGCACAGGGATGTACCACACAGCGAAAAGTATCAAAGAACTAAGACCACCGGGGAGAAAAATATGTTGTTCATATCCCTCACCTCACACTTGTTCCAGGGCAGGTATGTTCTTTGAGTATGCAGTGCTCTATAGTGTGTAAAGTATTTCTTTTCTTTCCTTATCCAAGTAAATGGAATGAAGTTACTCAGTTCTACCACATCACCCAGGTACTTGTACACATAGCTATTCCACAAAGCAAAAGAAAATAGGTAGTGTAAGTAGCATGCAGTATGATTATTATTCAGTAATAGAGTTCATTTTCTTCAAAATATTCCCCCTATTTAAAAGCTATTTAAGCATACATCAAGGCAATTAATGGCTTTATGCCATCTGTGTTATGGCTCACAGTAAAAATAGTACTAAAGTATACCCTCCCAATGGTGGTTAAAACAATTTTTGATTATGGCTACTTTTGTTATGATAGGAGACATAGATTTTTGAAATTGCCAATCAGCTCAAATAATGGAAGGGAAAAACATTTGGGTGCTAAAAGCTTTTCTTTAATCTACCCTGTGATTTCAGGTAATAACCCATAGATTGTTGACTAAGGAATTCATTTCCTAAGTGAGTTGGCATTTAGGAAGACATGTCATATTTATTGCTTTATAGAGGGTAGATTTGCTTGAATTTATTGATATCTGAGTTATTTTCTATGTGGTTGACCACTAAAAATAATGGATATCTTCAAGATATTACTGAAAAAAAGATACAACCCAGCAAAGGTCTTTATTTGACTTCTAAAAGGAGAAAAATATTGAAGACCATCCCACAGATCATAATCCTCTTAAGAAAATGTTACAGAAGTAAGCAGTTATAAAAGGAATGGAGGCCTGAAACTACTTGATATAGATATAGTGTTTTAAAATCATTTCTAAACTATTTCAGGAGGCTCTAGAAAACATAATATCTCTCTCCCCTCAACAAAACCTTTTGAAACTGATTTGTGAGATTAGTCATCCATAGGTTTTTATTCTTTTTTTTCTGTGTGTAAACCTCTTATATGGAGAATAGGGCTAGTTTTCGGTTGTGGGTTTTTATTTTTGTATGAATGGGGCCTCACTATGTTGCTCACCCAGGTCTTGAACTCCTAAGCTCAAGCTATCCTCCTGCCTCAGCCTTCCAAAGTGCTCAGATTACAGGCATGAGCCAGTGCACCTGCATATGTTTCTTAAGACACTATCCCTCATGTCATCATACTTGCTTGATTCTAAATTATAAAGCTTGTTGGCTTCAGATTTTTTTCTTTTTTTGTTCTTAATTGGTAAAGTGAATACAACTGGAATTGGAGATCACAGTAAGAGGCAGGGACTCATCAGAATCACTTGTGTTTCTGCCATAGTCTTTTCATTTTCCCCTTCAAACACACTAACACACTCGAGCAGTACTTTAGGAAAAGTATACATCATAAACAGAACTTTAGCAGGTTCATTAGGTTGATACCATTGTGTCTGGTGATCTTACTCTTCTGATGCTAGCAAGGTGGAGGATAAAGCACCTTCCTTCGCTGTGGCACATACCGGGTGATGGGCACAGCCAAGTATCCAATAAGGTGCTTTCTTGCTCACTTGTAATTTTGGGGGCCAAGATATTGTGGGAATGCTAGAGATATCAGATTAAAATACAGTATCAATTTTGGCATGTGTAAAGTATCACCAGACTTGATACTAAATCCAAAATGCTCAGCCTATATTCTGGATTTTATGTGTATTTCAAATTTTCATTAAAGAGGCTAATTTGTAGTTATGAATCGTCTTGTCAGTTTTCCAGAAATTTTATATAGCCATGAAGTAGAGTTTATTATTATGCTCTTTTATTAGCTGACTTATGTATTAATAATGTATCCTGTGGTTTTTAGGAGGAAACACAATTATTACTAGAAAACCTGCATGTTTATCATATGAATTACTTCCTGGTTTTGAGATGTCTTCATAAGTTTACCTCTTCTCTTCCCAAGTATCCACTGGGTCGACAGGTAATCCAAGCCTCCTCATTTGGAATCTATGAAGTAGGAATGTTAGTACTTTCTTGCTTTGGATTTTGTAGCATTCAGGCATCAGAATTTGAAATGAAGTGAATCCTTACAATGAGAGCACAATCTAAATCCATTCCAGCTATACACATTACTGGTAATTGAAATTGTTTTTTGTTCTGATGGCCACAGCTAGAAACAGCCATATGAATCCCAGTGGTGTTGCTTCCCCTACAGTGTGTTTGTACTAAGGCATTTGAACTTTCTTTCTTTTATGCTTCCTTGTCACCTATACTGAGAGAGCTAGTTCTCTTCCCTTCATGGAAGAAGGAATCTGTTTGAGAATGCTTGATGGTTAACCATGCACTACACCCAGAATAAAAAGAGAAGCAGTACTTCTCCTTGAAAAATTATGCTCAGCTGACCTTTATGTCATAACATAAAGCTATCAACCATCTGTAGAGTAGATTTTAGCAGAGGAATTCTGTATCTCTAAATCTTAGCTCAAAGTTTTAGAGAACAAATGCCAGTCTGTAAGAATGACTTGTTGGCCAGGTGCAGTGACTCATACCTGTAATCTCAGCACTTTGGGATATCAAGGCGGGTGGATCACCTGAGCTCAGGAGTTCAAGACCAGCCTGGCCAACATGATGAAACCCTGTCTCTACTAAAAATACAAAAATTAGCCAGGTGTGGTGGCACATGCCTGTAGTCCCAGCTACAGGGGAGGCCAAGGCAGGCAGATAGCTTGAACCTGGGAGGCAGAGGTTGCATTGAGCACTCTGCACTTTCTTATTTTAAAATGACCAGTGATATCAGCCAATCTCAACATAGTCTCATTTTACTTTTAAGTAAATTACATTCTTATAAAGCCTGATCCATGAGATATATACCAAGTCTATTATAATCTAAAGAAAATGACTTTTAATAACATTAGTTTTTTGTGTTGACCAGAAATGATTTTACCAAGCTAGTAGTGTATATACACTTTTGGTTTCTCACTAATGTGTTTTTCACTTACAGATCAGAGAGTTGTACTGCACGTGTTTAGAAAAGAACATATGGGATTCAGAGGAGTATGCATCAGTCTTGCAACTGCTGAGGTAGTTTTGTTTTTTCTTGTTTTTCTGTTTTTGTCTGCTATAAGCCTGCTAGTAAGTAGCACCTTCCTCTAGAACTCTGCCTGCCAAAAAGTTTCATAAATAGCCATGTTGTGTCTAAGAATATTTGCATATATCTTGAATTTATCCTTGTAGCTTATGATGTTTTTAGTATAGCAACCGTCCATTTCTTTGCTGGTTTAACATTGCATTTCAACTTGTGGTTTTTAAAGGAAAATCCATGATTGTTTAGTCAAATATTGACACTACCCTGTGAGAGTTTAGATATGCATCATTTGAATCCAGCCAACTTGATATCATGGCAGGGAAAATAAGTCATGAAAAGTGAGATCACCATGTCCCCAACCTGGTTGGGTGGAGGAAGAGCATCATTGGGTGATATGTACCCAGAGGTCACTGCTGACCTTGATTAGGAGAAGCAAGGAGTAGGCAGTGGCCTTGATATCTTCCTCTACCTTAACATTGGCTAATTCATAAATTATTTATCTAATAATATATAAGTAAAGAAGATATCTTAGGGTTAAAGTTATTATTTATATTCCTTGACTTCACTTCTTATATGTATAGTTACTTTTTAGTCTTCCATAAAAATAATGACCACTTGGGTAGTGATAAGTGGAAATCAGGTGTGAGCTAAGTTTCACCAAACAGTTTTATAATTTTCCTCAGAGGTTATATGTACTTATATGAAAATATTCTAAAGAAGTCTGAAAACTGAATATTTATTAAGTCTTGCTTTCCTCTGGGTCCACAAGAAAAGAACAGATGGGCACAGTAGGAGGAAAATTCACACTGAAAGCACTTTAAGTCCAGAGACTTAGCAATACAAATATTAGTGATCCAGCAGGTACAGCTTAAGACAGAAAATGAATTTCACGCTATCTTGAAAAATACCTCCCTATGGAAACTAGATTGCCACTGAAAAGCTGTGTTTTATTTCATTTTTTTAAAATCCCAGTATTTTTTCTTTCACCCATAAGGAAGCAAAAAAATCCCAATAAGATTTCTATGTATTTCCTCAGATCTGGTTTTAAAATTAAAAAAAAAAAGATATCTATGTATTTATAAGCTTAGGTGAACTAGAATATTTCTGAGACTTATTTTGCTTTGTCTTCAAGTAAATATACCTACCTTAAACACCCAGTTGATTCTTCCTGGGTTTTCCCTCTTAACCTTTGTGATTAGTAATTATCTTCCTTCTCCAGTGAGGTGTTCCCAAACTTAGAGAGTCTTTTGTCAGGGAGGAACTTGTTCTTTTTGTTCTGAACCTCCCAACACCAGTTATCTTGGAGTATAATCAAGGACCAAGAATGTCAGTTCCAAAGTAGGGTAAGGAAACATGAGCAGTAATGATGGTGACAGCAGTAACCATCACTTATTGAAGGACTGCTGTGTTCAAGGCACTTTGTTAGGCACTCTCAGTACATTTTCCAATCTAAAAGTCACAATATACCTTTATGGTAGATATTATTAGCCATACTTTACCCCTGAGGAATCTGAAACACAGACAGGGATTAAGTGATTTGCCTGAGATCACCTAGTTGCTGAGGGAACCAGGATTCTTCTCCAGGTTTGACTTCAAAGCTGTTGTACCTTCTGCTATTCTTTGCTAAGATCTAAAATACGGATTTGGAGATCTCAGTACAGCAGGAGCAAAAAATAGAAAGTGAGATTTCATTTTGCTAAGCTAAGGTCAGAAACATGAGCAGTCAAAAGCAAAGGAATGTAAAAAAGCACTACACATCAAATATAATACCTACAGCAAGGACACACAGGAGCCTGGGTCCTACAAAAGAGAAAAGGAATCAGGGAACCTCCAGCCTGGAATCAGTCTTTTCTTCTTCATACAGATTTGATGTAGACCAGAAGTCAGGGACACTTTTTAGTTAAGGCGTTCTCAATAGGCATCACCGGAACTTACGAGACCATGCTCATCACCTGTCTTCATTTAACTTATGAGAGAAAAGACTAAAAGGATCCCTGAATTCTGCTTTGGAAAGAAAAACTGCTAGGGTACTATTAGAAATATAATCTAGTTAGATTTCTTATTTGAAATGTTCAAGAATCGGCTTAAAGGATTTTTCAAGTAAAAATCCTTTTTACAGATTGAGCGTCTCTAATCTGAAAATCTGAAATTCAACATCCTCTAAAATTTGAGACACTTCAAATTTCAAAACTTGATGAGGACTTGTGATACCACAAGTGGAAAATTCCACACCTGACCTCATGAAATGGGTTGCAGCAAAACAGAGGCTCACCACACGGTTTATTCAGCCTGCCATTGTTTGTTGTTGTTTAACACTGATATGGGTATTACTTAGTTACACTGAACACGTTATTTTTTCGCTCTACCAGTGTTATGTCCTGTTCTTGAAGTGTTAATACTTAAGTGTAAGTAAGTGTAAGAAAATGGTTGCATATGAATTCAAGAGTCAGTAATGATGGGGGACCAAACAACTACAGTTGATTGTCCATCTAGTTGGTCGAGGTAGTGACACCTTTGCTTTCTGATGATTCAGTATGTCTTGTTTCATGCACAAAATTATTTAAAATATTGTGTGAAATTACTTTCAAGGTGTGTGTAGAAGGTGTATTTGAAACATAAATGAATTTTGTTTAGAATTGGGTCCCATTTTCAAGATAATCTCATTATGCATGTATAGCAAATAATCCAAAATCTGAAAAAATCCAAAATGCAGAATACTTCTGGTTCCAAGCATTTCAGATAAGGAATACTCAATCTGTATATGGAAGCCAACATGTTTAAATAACCATAGATCAGACGAGATCTAGCGCGTTCAGGGTGGTATGGCTGTAGACATCCCCTTAGCTCTAAGTCTTCTGCTTTGTTTTAGAAGAACATGGAAGAAAAGCTGACTGCTGCCCCCATTGCTCTTACCCCCACTGTAGTAGCCTTTGGCAGTGCCTCCTACCTTCCCCCAAGAACTGACTCTCCTGCGTGTTAGAGAGAAGGGGCCCTCCCAGCACAAAGTTGCATTCCTCCCCCCTAATTTATTCTCATTTATTAATTTAGCCCCCAACTTCTGAGCCTGCTGCCTTCTTGTACAGCCTGGGGACTGTGGAGTAGCTACCTCAGCCCCTCCCAGGCCTGGCCCCGCTTGGGGAGTAAGACAAGGCTTGGATGTGGCCCCGTTGGAGGTTGATCTTGCTATTTTTATTTCTTGCCTTTGTGTTTGTGTTCTGTGGTACTTGTTGAAAAAGAAAAGAGGCAAGGCACAGTGGCTTATACCTGTAATCCCAGCACTTTGGGAGGCCCAAGTGGGCAGATCACTTGAGCTCAGGATTTCGAGGCCAGCCTGGGTAACATGGTGAAACACCCTCTCTACCAAAAAAAAAAAAAAAAAAATTAGCCTGGCATGATGGCACCCATCTGTGGTCCCATCCTTGGAGGATGAGGTGGGAGGATCACTTGAGCCTGGGAGGCAGAGGGTACCCTGAGCCGAGATCGCACCACTTCATTCCAGCCTGGGTGACAGCAAGACTTCGTCTCAAATATATGCAAATAAAAGAAAGAGGAAAAAAAGAAATGTGAGCAAAGCAGAAGGAGGTGGATCCAAACTCCAATGTGTCACGCCTCATACCTTTTCTTTAGTGGTGGGAAACCCTTATCTTGTAACGGAAATGTGTCCCCTTCCTCAACCTCTAGTCTATTTTACAGAAAACAAAACCTCCCAATAAAACTGTTGAAACCTGGAAAATAAAACAAACAATATGTCATCTACTTGATGAAATATCTGGTGACCATTTAAAAAGTATTTACAGCAACTTTGTAATAATGTAGGATAATGTTTATGTCACATATTTATTAGTGGAAAAAGACCTATATCATTTTATATCACAGTTATTTTTTAAATGTATGCAACAGACATTGATGTGTTTCGGGAACATGCCAGTGTACATTTATAATGTATGCCATAATTTGACATGAGCGCAGTGGTTCTGCACGTGTTCTGCCTTTCATTGCTCAGTCAACTCTTGGAGTATGAAGACCACAGCCCTATGCTGTATGGGATATGTGTTGATTAATTTTTCACTCAAACCTGTGTTATTATATAAGTACTTATTTCCATTAAAAAGCCATTTGGGAACAGAAAGTAGTAACAAATGATGCTAGCCCAGCAGTGAACTAGGTGAATACAACTGTTTTTCCTTATCAGCTATGAAAAACCATAGGAGGAAAATTTTACCATTCTAGTAGAATTTCCAAACACCCCTCTAGAAATCAAATACTAGGCCAATAATTTTTCATATTTTTAAAATTCACAGAACCTTGCATCAATAAGATTTTAAGGGTTAATGTAAATAAGAGCTGGCCAGGTGTGGTGGCTTCCGCCTGTAATCCCAGCACTTTGGAAGGCAGAGTTTGAGACCAGCCTGGCCAACATGATGAAACCCCGTCTCTACTAAAAATATTAAAAAAAATTAGCCAGGTGTGGTGGAATTACAGTCTCCTGAGGCAGGAGAATTGCTTGAACCTAGGAGGTAGAGGTTGCAGTGAGCCAAGACCACACCACTGCACTCCAGCCTGGGCAACAGAGCAAGGCCGTGTCTCAAAAAAAAGAAAAAAATCAGAGCCTCAACTTAAAGGAACATGTTGGATCAGCTGGACCTGAAGAATACCACACTCTCATACCAGTAGCAGTGGAGTTTTGGATTGGGGATAATGAAAAGTGTGCCCCACTTCTTAAGGGAATTTATATCCCCTACCCCCATCAATTAAAAATTACTCATCTACAGTTATTCCATTTTCTTTCAAATAAAGAAACCAAGACCAGAAACACTGACTTTTCTATAGTTGACAGAGCTGAGACTCTTTCAACCCTATTCCAGTTATTTAGAGGTGGTAATAAAAGGAAATTTATGGTTTTGTGGCCAGTAGCCCATGTTCAGAATGTATCCAAAATTTAAAAATGAACCCGCAGAGCAAGCTCCAGTGGACTCAGATGGCTCCCTCCCCCATC